CTTTTTATAGAAGTAACTAAGGATAACTTAATTAATATAATAACATAGAAAGATAATACTTTAGTCTTTTTTATATCTACTTTTTCTAATAGATAGAATATAGTAAAAAGGCTTTATAAATACTCTTCTAAAACCTCTTCTACTATAAAGTCTATTTAGAAGCTCTTCGGATTAAATCCTTAAGTTATACTTATGATTCTTAAGTTTAAAGATAAATATAACTATTAAATAAGAGGTATAAACTAAGAAAATTAACTTAAGAGGCTAAATACTCTCGAAAAGCTCTATTAAGGAAGTAGCTATTAAGCCTTAATTATAAAGCTCTTAGATATAGCTCTTAGATATAGCTCTTATAAACGTTTATAAACTTAGTTTTTACTCTTAAGTACCTTTAAAGGGTAAATAAATTAATTAGACTAAGTTCTAAATAGAAGTTCTCAAGGAATATTTTAGATTTACTAAGGAAAACTATAGAAAATATAAATTATCTTTAATATCTACTACTAAAGACCTTAGAGAGTTTTCTTAAGTCACTAAGTATATATTAAAGCGATTTTAAGTTAAAGGGAATTACATAGTATATATATTAAGAAGGAGATATCTTAGTAAGTATAAAGAAAAGTTTTAAAGGAGCTTTCTATTAATCTCCCTCTAAATATTTAAGGATCCAGATATAGGAAAGCTTTAATATTTAGCTATAAGGTCTATAAGGTTATACTCTATATAGATCATAATTATTTTACCTAGTATTATAGTAAATAATAGAAGTGTTATAGTAATTCTTTAAATACTCTTAATTTTTAATAAGGATTCCGACTACTAAGGCGCTAAAAGGCGTTACCGAACCACCGCTGAAGAGAATAGGCCTAGGGATTAAGCTATATAATATACTATTTATTCTAGCTATAAACGTGCCTATAGACTAAATTAGTAGGTTATTATTACCCTAGATAGTATAATTTCTTCGTTAGTAGGACTGTTTTATAAAATAAAGAATAATTAGAATATATAGAAGAGATTAAGCTATTAAGAGAGGCTCTAAGCTTTATTTTAAAGTTAAGAAGTATATTACTTATATAATAATCTAGTATATAGTAGCTCCTTTAGTATTACTTATTTATATTAATACCCTCGAGGTCGCCGCTTCTTATTAGAGTATAAAAAAAGCTTTAATCAAAAGCTATTATTAGTAAGGATTATTAGTGAGGATTGTTATAAAACAAGACTTTAAAAAGATTCAGAATAATTAAATATATATAGCTTTTATAAAAGCACTAGTAGTAGGGAAATAACTAGTTATAGCTTATTTTACTATTATTATATTACTTGAAAATTATATAACGTGTTTATAAAGGCCTTAGAATCGATTTTATATAAATCTATTAAGTATTAAAGAGTATTTATATAATAATTAGAAAGAGAGAGAGAGAGAGAGAGAGAGTTAAAAAGAAAAGTAATATTAAAAGTAAATAACTATAGAAAAATCTTAATCCGCGCTAAAGTAAGCCTCCTCTATTAGCTTTCTATTAAATATTCTAGTTATTTCTCTCTAATAATAATAATAACCTCTTTATATTACCTCCTATTCTATTAACCTTTAAAGAGAGAGTATTAATATTTATACTAAAAGATATATTAACTGTAAATTCCGAGGCTACTTTACTAATTAATAAGTTAACTAGATAACTAATGTAACCTATAAGTACTTTATCTAAGTTCTTCGGCTCTATACTACCTCTTCTTTTTAGATTCGTATTTCTAGCCTGTTTAATAGCTTTTAGAAAGCTCCTTGATACTATAGCTAAGAATAGCTAAGGCGTATCTAGTACTACAGATTCTTTAGCTTCTTTTATACCCTCGCTATCGCTTCTTATAAGTTCCTAGCTCTCTTCAGAATTATTACTACTATCTTCAGATAGAGCTCTTCTTTCTTTTTTAAGCTATACTCTCTTTTCTCTCTTTTTTCTAGACTTTATTAAATACTAATTATCTCTTTATTCTCTAGCTCTCTTATTATTAGCTTTAATTCTATTAGCGACCTTTATAGCTTACTTCTTTATTAATTTTACCCCTTTAATAATAATAATCTATTTATTAATAGCTTAGTTATATAACGTATTAAGGTCTTATTCCTTAGATTCGTCTATTTTAAGCTACTAATACTATTTCTTTACTTATCCTCTTATAACATAACTAAGGCTCTAATAAGATATACCTCTATATATATTTTTAGAAGCTCTTAAAACCGCTAACTAAAAGACCTTTATTAAAACCTTCAAATATAATAACTTCCTCTTAAGGCAGATTTATAAAAGACTTATCTAACTCCCTTTATCTTTCTATAACCTCGCTATTAGCTTAATATTTATTAATAGAGGAGGTTCAGATAATATTAGTAAAGATAGTATTTCTATTAAATTAACTATATTATTAGAGGCTAGAAAAGTAGCTCTCTTTAACTAAGAGGTTAATTTAGCTCTCTTCCGAGAGTCTATAGTATCTTATAGTAGTAAAGAAGTAAAAGAACGTCTCTTATTAACTAATAATAACTATAAAAAGGTGACTAAAGTAGTTAAAATAAGATTCGGTCTCTCTTTAAGGGCTAGAGTTAGTATACTAAGAATATTATAAATTCTAAAGCTCTAATAAGCTAAGAATTAAAGGCGTTAAAAATCTATATTAAAAATATTAGTTAATTTAGTATAATATTCTACTTTAAATAGCCTTATATTCTTATAGCTAATATTAAATTAAGTCCTTACTATACCTAATTAATTTAAGCTTAAAAACTATATTATATAAATACTTTACTAAACAAGTAGAATAGTTTTTAGCCCCTTATCTAGTAATAACTTTCAAAAACAGTTAAGATTAAACCTTAATAGAGATTATACCTAAGAGCGACCAAACCTATTATAGCGACGCACGGCCTAGAAAACTGTTTCTCTAAAAGTGTTCCGCGCTGCGAAAACACCGTATTATTCGGCCCAGTTATTCGGTTTCGTCTAGCTAGAAGCAACCGAATAATAGTACGTAGATCTTGGCCAAGTGCTTCCTATAGGTCTTGACCTGAAACAGCACTGCAGTGCTGATCTCGTAGTGGCGGGCATAGAACCCTTTCGTAGTGATATGATAATCTCTTTCAGCGATAATTCTGGACTAGGTTGCGATTGATCGAATGCAGCTGTGATTCGCTGAATTGTTCGGTGGAAATACCGCCCCCTGATTACTGAGACCTTAAGCGAAGCAAACAATGTGTTTGTTGAATTGATCAAAAGAAAGTCGCTACTTCTCGATTACTCGAATTGTGGACCAGAGAATAACGGTGAGCATCTCCATCATGTCTCAAGAGCAGTAGGTACCTTCTACGAACCCAACACTGACTTATGGGCAACTTGAAATCAGCTCCACTGGTTGGTTTGTTTGATCGAAACTACATTGGCCACTGCCTTTCCCAGGTTCGATGATTGAGAGTTGATTCGAAACATCCGCTGGCTACACAAACAAGCTATCACTGAAAACTCATGCACAGCTTTGACCTCTGCTTATGAATCCGGAAATTGGCCGGCGTCATATGAAGAAATCGTGAGATACCAGCAAACATCAGTCCCATGGAGCTCCGATGAATCATCTCATGAATGCCAATTAGTTCACGATTGAATCAATCATCATTACCAATGGCCATTGATGCAATTCCACTGATTATGCGCTAGTTCAAATGCTCTATGCTGGTCGAGACTTGCTTGCTGATGGAAAAAGAAGCCAAGCTGCTGCTGTTAGGAACCCCCAACAATCGATACGAGACTTCCAAGTAACTCGAATTGGAATATACAGGACAGCCTCTACGAGGGGCCATACAGAAGTGACATCGACCAGGGAATATCCCGAGCATGTTATATCACAAGAAAGTGTCCATGGCCCAGAAAATTTCGGTAGCTGCTAATTATCATTGCTAAATATCATTGGAGCGTAGCTCGATATAGCAGACCCAAGCGCTTCAAAATGGGATTCATTTGCACCTGTAATGGCCCGCTCAGCTATGTCCCTGAACCCCAAGTCGACGAATCGTCACAAGCTGAACTGGGACTGGTGGGATCAAACAGTAAGGAGCGAGATTTAACTCACATCGTACCTTTTCCACTTGCAATGATCGGCCAAGAAGACTGCTGTACCTATTCTCATGGGTGCTCTACTGGACCGACCTAATCTTTCTCGGAATTGTTGAGCGACACGCGGCTTTAACCGCCACTGGAGCTCATGTATAACGTATCTGCTTAGTCGATTTGATCGAGGTGAAGCTCGTGGAAAAGAAGCGCTGTCATCGATTCTCGATATGAAACCTCTCTCCTTGGCCTCCAAACATCCTATTGCAGGTTCGGGAATGCCACACACGCGCGTACCAAGCTCTCACAGGCGGCAGGAAATCAATGGGCGTTCAAACAATACTATCATGCGCAGGGGGGGATGGGTATTGATCAGTACAGATATAAACATAGCGTTCTTTGCAGTCGTCATGATATTGGGAGGTTCCATTGTCTCCTGCAGCTGTTCGTACCGGTGCCTGGAGGAAACTTCTAGTCAATGATGTTTGCACCGACCGATTTGTACCAGAGCTAGGGAGCCATCGTTGGAGCGAGGATAGGAGGTGGTGTTTTGGCTTACCGGTATGTTGGGGACCTTAACGGGGGAGAAGAGCCAGATGCGGCTATTCTGGCCCTGTGTGGTTTCACCTGTACGGTATTTCGAGTGAGGGCTTTCGCGAGAGCATCATCGCCCTAGAGATCTGAGTTGACATTGTACTTACTGCCCTTCAAGCACCACGATTCATACGGAGAAAATGGGATGTAATCTTCTGGCGTATATAAACAAATATATGATGTGACCTGAAGGTTATTTACTCATCCTCGCTACAGTACAGTAGCCTATTTTCGGATGCCGAACACTTGCACAGGGCAGTTGCACAGCCGAGAGCCGATCACGTAAAAAAAGCGAGCGGCAACTCCCACTCTCTCCCCAGCGACGCCGAGTGTACAACAGCTGTTATTGACCGAACCTACCTACCTTACCTGGCCTTTCGATACCTAGGTAGATCAGAAAAGGAGGTCGCGTGGGGTACGAATCTGCTCCCCTCCTGGTAGATGCACTTTCACTTGTACTTGTACCCCGTACCCAGAAGTCCGCCCCTACCAGTCGAGTACAGTATTCGCGACTTCTCAACCGAATTTCACGATTCCTCAACAGGATGTCGACCTCGGAGGAAGCTTCACATCTTTTCGCCAATGACAAAATAGCCACGGAGCACAAAAGGTGCAATGATAACTAGGTGCGGTCACGGTGTATAGAACTAATGAACGCTAGGTTGAACATCCAGCACCGCTTCGTTAATACATTTGGGCCACCTGAGCAGATCCATCCGTCGATACCTAAAGACCAAATCATCCTTGTCGCAGATATTGCAACAGGAACAGGGTTTGTTCGATTTTTATTCCACTCCAATCATTTCCATACAAACTTCGTGTGTCTGATACTCATTCCAGAGTTTGGCTACAAGATCTCGCCACCGTCCTATCCAAAATTCCCCTACGTAGTGACGGATCCAGACAGTACGTCGGCTTCGATATCTCCCGTGATCTGTTCCCTTCGAGCTACGACTCGAGCTTCAGCTATGTGCAACACAATGCTTTATGTCCCTTTCCAGATGAACATCTCGGGAAATACGATCTTGTGCATGCAAGGTTTCTGATTGCGGCATTGAAGGAAGATGAGATTCGAATTGCATTGGAGAATGTCTTGGAGCTTCTAGGTACTGAATGAGCCTACCTTCAAGTTGTATGAAACACGGTACTTAATTAACATCGGTCCCAACATAGCTCCGGGTGGTTACATTCAATGGGACGAGTGGGATTTTCCGGATATACAACTACCATCGGCCTCCCCAGCCGTCAAGCAAACCCTGGCCGACTTCCTCGACTTTTCCACGTCAATTGGCTTCTCTCCTGATATCGCCAGTGTTCTCCATTCTGAGCTCTCGCAGGACTCCACGATTGATCAGTATATTTTGTCGAAGACGACGTGGTATAGTTTGAAGGACGAGGGAACGAAGAAGAATTCCAGGGATGTGGCGAGGGAGTGGTGGATTGGTGCCGTGAGGAGTCTTTGGCCAGTCATGCTGGCAATGACGCAGAGTGGGCAGGTTAGGCCGCGGAATGAAGTTGAGGGGATGGTGGGGGAGAATGTGGCTATGATGGAAAGAGTATGTAATTTTCTCTATTCCCCATATATGATTTTCAGAGTAAGTTTGTTGGTCGACGAGTGGTAATAGCTGACTATCGATGAAAGTGGTTTGCCGAAGGGGGGGTACCAGTTATCCCGCTAGTCGTTGTTTGTGGGAAGAGGATGGAGTTCTGAGGAGAGCTGTCTGATCAGCGACCTGCAGCAGAATACTGTAGGTACAGCATATAGACGATCACTGGTCACCAACCGTAAAGAACCTGACAAATCTTGTGGTTGTGACGGAACTCCATCGCGGACTGCCAATACCATCGATTAAAGTCCAACCAAATGCAAGACACAATATTGCAATCCAATTCACATAATTAACATGACAACGGCCGCCTGGATGTAATTCACATGATTGACCGATGTCATTTTGAGCACACTACTTGAGATGCGTATTCTACAAGTCGTCGTTTCTTTCTCCACTTACGTTTATTTTTGTAACCATCTTCCCTTCCTCGAAATAGGCTACGATCAACTATAAAATTCGAGATGACGTATCCTATACAAGTTTCCACCCCCGCCCCCCTCTCCCTCCCTCGTCAAAGTCGCTACTACCATCAAGCCTCGTCTTGTGCATTCTTCTTCAATTCGTGCAGTCGCCAAGTCGAACAAGACATATCTTAAAACCCCCGCACAGGATACAAGACGAAGCAAGAATAAAGTTGGAAGAAAATTTAAGAGCAAAGGAAGAGTAGTAGCAAGGTAGCATGAATAGTCATGAGAAACAGCATCCCTCGTCCAAGACTAATCAGCATCAGAAGCTTCGACACCAGGAACCATAATTTGGATGTCGCCGACCATTACTCGAGCCTGCATCGCGGCACGATTGATGCCTTCACTCATTATTAGCGTATCAGTTACGACACGCTGGGTGGCATTGCCTAGTCCGATGACTGCAACTCTGGCGTTTTGAGCAGAAAGTATGCTTGCCGCAAGACTGCGAATCACAGGCTCAACAACGGCACGAAAACCTGGATAATTGATGTCTTGAGTCGTGGCGATAATTTCATCCAAGGAGCTCTGAACACCTGCAAGAGCGGCCTCGAGTCGAGCGTCCTCGGTATGGAGGGCGGCGGTAGCGTCTTCAAGGTAGTGTGTGCGGAGGAACTCTGTACCGTTAATAGGTGGAGGAGGTGGTTGTTCATTGTTGACACTTAAATCGCGACAAGTGGCAGGGGAAGGATTACGAGTATGACGGTGAGTAGTGTTGCTTATACCCTTGGCTCGATTTGTCTCTTGGTGGTTGGTTCGGCTTTGTTGCTGATCGCGGTCAGATACAAGCTTGTCAACTTGCTCACCCTGGTGCATAGTCAGCAAATCTGCACGATTCAAGCTGAAGGACAAGCCTCACAACCTCAGTAACAATTTTCTTAACAGCATTATCGCGAATATCGCCCGTCTTAATGAGTTGGACTTGAGTATGAGAGTATTTGTGCACTGGCTGGGTAGAACGGCAACGACCATGAAACAAATCAGAAACTCGGCTACGGATACCCTGGCTACCTTTCCTGACTTCAGAAGGCTTCTTTATCTCCAGTGATGCAAGATATCTGCGTGTTTCGATCTTTGTTTTGGATTCTTGAGTACGCGCGGTACTGGCAGCCGTAGGACGGTTGAGACGTGATACTGGGTTGTCACCAACTTGGAAGCGAGACTCTACTCCCTTCGTTGATGTCAGTGAAAGAGGGGGACTACAAGTATCAGCAAAGTATTGCCATTGATAATGGCTACTCACTAAGGGCTGCCATCAAGCAATATGTCAGAGTCGAAGCTCGAAGTCTTCCAGGCGGGCCGATTAACACTGAAGAACACCATCATTAGAATATCACACTAAAGAAATAAGGCACTTACTTTGGACTCTTCCCCATCAAAACCTCACGGGCGTCCTTGGAATATCTAACAGTCGGACCAACACCGAGCTTGAGGTATCTCCTATCAACATCCGAGCGAAAGGGAGACTCATCAGTGGGAATCTCAGTTGAAATACTGCCCGAGACATCAATTTTCACCTTGTTGACTATGATACTGTCCTCGGTCTGCTCCATATCCACCTTCATTGTGGTATTCTCGTCTAACGAGTTGTCTTGCAAGACTTGTAAACGTCTGGTACTGTGACGATTAAACTTAATGGGAGTCTTGACTTCTGGCTTGCGGTGAGTAGAATCGTATCTCTGCATTGGGCTTCCATTCTTGTATGCACCGATGTGTCCATGGCTGAGAGTGGCTGGGTGATGGGTTGAGGCAGACCCGCGTGGGGCCGCGGCCAGAGAGTAGGCGTTGGAGTTTGGGTGGTGGCTGCCCTGACAGGTAGTGGTGACAGCAACATCCCGACAACTCCGCGCCGTCTCGGTAGCAGCGGTACCGACATCAGATTTGATACTACCACGAGCAGAACCAAGAGAAGTGGTGACCTTGAGATTGCCAGAATCGCTCATGGAGGGCTGGTGACGCATAACATTGGATGGCCTGAGGGGAGGGTAGCTGACTGCCATGCTCTTTGCAGCGGAATCGATAGCATCTGGGACAGTCAGTCAGGCAGTCGTCTAGAATGTCGTGGCTTGGGATTTACCGAGAATACCTCGTCGTTGAGGAGACTCAGTAGATCTAAGAGCAGGCTTGGCTGGCAATTCCTTATGCACGGTGGAGGACTTTTTCTGAACAAGTCAAGATGTTAGTAGACAATAATGACCAGTAGGAGTTCTTAAGTGTATCCACGCGCCGAATGTGCTAAAGGGCCCGGACTATCGCAACTGGGCAGATGGAACATACTGGCCTAGGAGTGTCCTTTGGTGGAGGTGTTGGTACGTCAGTGGTCATGCCAGGATTGGAAACAAGGTGGTCGACGCAGGCCACGGCGGACGATCGGCTGTGGTCGACAGGCTCTTGTTGTTTGGTGGGAGTGTGAGGTGAATTCATACGGTGTCCTGGCTTGCGAGAGGCGCGAGAGCGAGAGCCTCGTGAGGATGTGATGTTATCTGGGGTTTGAGCCATGATGTAGCGTCTGTTGTCATCGACAAGGTATAGCTCAGCACGTAAAATTCTCGCCTGGAAAGGAGAGCAGCGGAGTCGTGTCCAGGAGCAAGGTGTAAGGTTTTGCGATTCTCTGAAGCGAGAGCAGGAGACCTGGAGACTTAGCGTGCAGCGGGCCGAGGAGCAACCGAGTCCTTGCAAGTAATATTGTTGTAAAAGGAACAAGGGATATTGAATTTGGCCTGGTACCTGCCAAAGGATTCTTTGGCTGGCTACGGGCTGCGGCTAAATGAGACCTGGCACGGTCATGCCAAATGCTGCTTCTGCAAGATGAGCTGAGCGCTCATTCAAAGTACTTCCTTCCTACCAAGCACCAGGTCTTCATTTATTCACCTTGGACTTAGAGAGCATATACCCGAAATCCAGTACCCTTAAAACAACTCCTTGAAATGCTGATGTCTGCGCTGACATGCTGCGACACGTGTATGGGATTAAAGCTGCAATCTCACAGGCCCCTGCAGATCAGGCTTGGGGTGTGGAGTAGAGAGAAGAGTGTAAAAGGCTCGAATGCTGAACAGGTTCCTAGTCTCCATCTCTCAAATATGCCATCTTTGCCTTCATCTAGCGCCGGGAGAAGATCACGGTCGTTCTTAAGTGCCTAAAAGTCCTAGAATCAAAGGTACGGGGGGATCCATGATGCGGTTAGAGTGTAGTAGGTTTCAAGAGGGATCTAGTCAGCGGGTCCTAGGACTCCAGAGGATATTAGTATGAGGTTGAACTGCCCGGTCAGGCTGGTAGCTACTTGCAACTTGAATCGGACTCGCAGTAATGGAGGACTAAACAGATGCAGATGAATACATGGCTCAAGGGATTATCAGGTTCTCTAAGTAGGATGGACTCACCAGTCTCATGACATAAGCCAATAAGACACGTTGTGGAACAATGGCAGCGAGATAAATTTACAATCATCAGCTTTTGAAAAGGACCTGCCACTAGGCAAACTGCAGAGTCTCACTACAGAAGACTGCAACCTGTGACCCTTGATGTTGCAGGAGTCACAATGAAAATAGATAAGAGTCAAATGCAAGTGCAGAACGATACAAGCAAAGCCGCAGCACGCTCCGCACACCCACAGACAGGGAAGATATTCCGAATAAAGAACGTCAATCACCACTAATACCAAGACGGAAGACAAACCAGTGTAAAGGAAGATATCAAACACAAAGGTATCCGGTCTAATATCTCGGTCGTACAGTCCCTTCTAGTCGTTAGTTTGATGCATTGCTGACGCTCGTAGCTAATATCACGGAGAAGAGACAGATGCAATGTCGTTGAACAGATGCATTAGTCAGCACATCTTGGCGGCCACAACCGAACCCCGGATTTCAGCTCCATGCCTGGGGCTATTCAGCCGCCTCGTAGTCGCGACCCGGAATTCTGGCAATAAGGTTACGCTGGAAAATCTCCAGCTACTCCTGCCGCGAGGATAGCTGCCATGATGTTTCTGTATAGCATGATTATGTACATACCAATCCAATCGAAAAGAAGATGGTGGCAAGGATACAGTCGAAGCTAGAAAAGGACAGAGAGGCACAAGTGTTGGAGACGAACAGCTAGAGGATTGGCGCTTGGTGTTGCCTGGTCAGATTAGGTTTACGATGATGATTCGAAACGAGTAGGATCTGCAGTACTTATGGGGTCGAGTCAATGCAAAGTTACCGCGAGGTAAGGCATTTGCATTGGCTGAAGAGGGGCTGAAATAGTGGGGTGAGCAGGAATGGAGGCAGAATGAGGCAGAATGTGCTATTCTGCCTATCTTCAACGAGGTCATGGCAGAGGTTTACGTTTGGTCCAAAGTCTTTGGAAGGAGGTGAATCGAGGAGATCATTTGTGATAGCTAAACTGTTCATTTTTATCTGCAGGATTTGTCCCTCTACTGTTATTGGGCTCATCTGAAAGATGAGATGGAGATATATAATCACAGTTTGAGGAGACCCAACGAACATTTGAAAAGATGGACAAGGTTGGCCTGGCCAGACCCTATTGATTTGGAGTTGCCACTGGCGCTGGTGGACCCTTGGAACGAATTTCTAAGGTGCCCCTGTAGAGGTCAGTGGAACTGCTGCAGGGGAGACTGCAGTACACCCTGTGGAAAGGTGCGTCATCTCAAGTGACATTGGATGCTGGAATCAAGAGTTCCAGGCCTTCGCTGAGATGCTGACGCTGCCGATCAGTGACGATCTGGAGAGGTCCTGGAGCAAGTTCACAAGGCTTTTGCTTGTTAATATTGTCTGGATTGAGTTGCCATTAAGCACCTTCTGTCGTCTTATTGAAATTGAAAGCCGGAATATGAAGCATACTGGTGGTAAACTTGGAAAGTCTGTCAAGGCTTTGTCTTGGTTTCAATGGAAGACGGGAGCTGGGATCGTGTTCGTTTTCAGTGAATCCCATCATTCCGGTAGCTAGACCGATGTTACTAATGATAATGTCACAGGGTTTGTATATCTGTTCAGTGCGTGACTAGCTTTATTACGTGGTAAGCGAGGTAAGGAGAGATAAACAGAACCATCTTACTCGGCTACAAAGACAGGCTCTGGATTAAGGAGAGCTATTCATGAGGTACGCATGTAAGCAATGACGACTGGAATGGAACATCCATTATAAGCACCCTCTAACCTCACGTAATCCTTCCTGTCTAACATTATTCAGTGAACCAAATTTGGGAGACAGACAAACCTCTGCAAAAATCCCTGATATACGCATACTTCTGCAGTGTATTGCATTTTGGAACATTACAGGAGGTACCATGGAAAATATCTCTTACTAAATCAGACATCCGGAGGAGGGGGAAGATAGAGATGAGGAAATGATGCTTTTCGACTGATTTCGTTCGACCCAGACTTGTCTCTGATCTGTAGGCACGATGCAAGGTGCGATGCTCATATATTCCACCTGTACAGCCACAACCGATGCCTACACAGCATCGCTATGCTGCTTAGACTCTCATCACCCACATGATGACCGCTGTACTAGGTGTAAGGTTTACCATGAACCGATAATTATCGTTCTGATCGCAGAAAACCCTGATGCATATGTATATGTAGGGTACTGACGCCGCACCTGAGGCGAGCCTGTTCTGTCTCAACATAGCCTGCTGCACCAAAGCTCCAGCGAAAAAACTGCTTTACTGATGCCTGATTGGGGTGCTTTTCTGAGGCCTTATAAAGTTTGATTGAGCAGCCTCTAAAAAACTTGGACTTGGCTTTAATTCGATCGAAACCACTCGGAAACTGTCCACTTTTGCTCTCAGCATCACCACCATGATCGCGCAGGCAGTTTTTTTGCAAGACTAGCCAACAGGCCGTGTTCAATGACTTCAAGAAACCCCTCGGTGCTCAGCAAGCTGGAACCGAGCTAGCCATGTTTGAAAGCATCTAGAGAAACTCCTCCGGAGTTCTACATTATTTGTGTCAATGCTGTCAAAAGCGAACTTGTCGGCTTTGCCAACATGCTGACCTGACTCATGATACTGGCGAACTCTTCGATGCCACCCGAATTTACGAGGCTCCTCTTCTACGTCATGAGGGCACTGGAAACGTTCGGGACTAGACTCGCTTTGCCAGATGGAAGATAACCAGGTAAGAGTTTGAGTACATCAAAAAGATCGAATATACGAGTCTATTCCTTGTGTTCCTCTCCCCGCGCAAGCAGGGTGACCCGAGACCTCCAAAGCTATTGATGAACTTCTAATCACAGTCGGAGCCTGGACAACGGAACTGCACAAGGAAATCTATGTCTTTGATGATGTTCACGGGTCTAAGGACAAGGAGCTCTGCGCCACCGTCAAGGAGCTTCGTGAAATGCAGTAATCATCAACCCGACAATGAAAGCCAATCTAATCGTCGACATTCAAGGACGCTTCAACAATAGGCACTTCTAAGAAAGCCTGAGTGTTCCTGGAAGCGCGATCTTGTTCTCGATGGGGGGTCCCGGAAAACGGTAGAACCGTCTCTCTCAAGGCGCTTATCAATGGTCTTGGTGCTTGTGCTGACTCCGCCTTCTCTCTATATGCAAGCCTTTCGATGGATACTAATGCCCGAAGTATCTGTCCGTACGATTTCCCGGCATGCTCGTGTGATGGCGCCTTGCCCCCTGATCTTCGAAGAACTGGACAGTCTTGTCACAGACGAAACGCGGAGCCACTTCCCTAGGTAACGAAGTCCGTGGCCTCGAGTCAAACGATGGCATGGTAATGGTAGGTTCCACAAACCACCACGATAGTCTCGATCTAGCCATTCCAAAGTGCCCCTCTCGCCCCATCGTAGGTACCACTTCAGGATCCCAAATTAGAAGAAGCGCGTCGCGTGTTGCTGTTTCTGGAGAAAGAAGTTGACGAAAAGTCACTGATTGACTTCCCTGAGGATTTTGTGCTTGGTGATTGCGAAGTTGAGAAGTAAGTTTCAGCTTGGCATGCGTAAAGGAGCTGTTTGTTATTGCGCTCCTGATTATTGTCAGGGGCGGAGGCCTGGAGGAATAAGTGCAGGCCGAAGATACGAACAGTAGTACTGATTCTGACCCTATCATCGTCGAATATGAGCCACCTCCCGTTGAGAGCACCCCTACTAGCAAGACCAACAATAAAACCGATGCTCTGGATAATGATACACCAGAACCGAAGAAGCTCCGAACCTTACCGACGTCGGTATTCCAGATTAGTTCCATAGCAATCGCTCGCTGAAGGTTGTCAAAGCCCAGCTCAAAATGCTCCTGGAGGAGATGGATAACAGTGCTGCGGACGAAAGAACGGTAAGCAAACTGATGACGAGGAAGATGATAAATGTGTGGATTATGCGCAGCAATTGATGGCCCTGACTCAGCAGAATGCTTGTACCAATGAGTATTCTCGGGAGAGACCTGAGACGCTTTCAACATGGAAGAAAATATTTGACAACAAAGAATGACGGCGAGGCACCACGGAAAGGTAAAATCGTTGCTGACGAGAAAAGGTGTACACAGAAGGCAATGAAACCAGAGACGGTTGTGACCAAACAAATCCGCATCTAGTAGTACCCATGACTCACGGCTTCAAGAATTTGATACTATTTTGTAGTGTTCTTCTCCACAATGCCCCTCGCAAACTCTCCAAAACTTATGTCCTGATCTAAATCAACAGGTTCACCCAGGTTTGGCTGCGTGAACACTGCCAACGTATTACGTGCAATCTTACCCCCTTCATTCTCACCACCCGCAAAGCCAGGCCGCACACCTCTAACGTAATGCGGTACGGCCCTGAACATGCCTTTAGTAATACGCTCTAACGCCTCGCCAGTCTGAAAAGCGATGCAGTCCCTCGGAATCTTGACCTGCACAGTTTCCCCGTTGCGAGATTGGATGTACAGTCCAGCTGTCGGATCGGGTGACGAGTCGAGTTCTGCAAGCGTAGGGAGATGGTGTGGGTTGTATGAGTAAGTCATAGGGATCGCAGGTACTTGCTTACTCTCGTTGACGAACATAGCGGACGTCAAGCCAGTCAAACATCCATGATCGAGATGTGTAGCACACCAGTCGTCATCGTTGGCTTCCTCTTTGGTTTCCAAATCAGCGGGAAAATAATGCAGAAGTCTTGCTTTAGTCGTGGTCGAGGTCTTAACAACATGCTCAAGGTATCCTGGCTTGTAGTTGGGTATCTCTTTGGATGCATACTGATCACATGCTCTCGCGACCAGGACCGCGGTGTCAATAATCAGACGGCAGAGATCTTCAAATGTCTCCTTGAAGCCGGCGATGTTACTAGGCCAAAGATTGGGACTGAGATACTCTGGAAAGTTGTCTGGGGAAAACTCCTTGGTTGGTTTGGCGCAGTCGAGTGAGGGATCAACATAGAAAGCACAGTTGGCATAGAAAGAACCCTTATGTGTATCGATCTGACCATTCTTGAGAGTCTCTTTACCTCGAGACCAGCCAGTCAGATATTTAGCTGCCGGATTCTCGATCTTGTCTGCTGATCGTCATTATCACGAACCACAGAGGAGGGTGCGCCGGCTTACCAAGGCGGAACTGAGGTAGGTTCCCAAGGTACGACGAGTAGGACAGTAGGCGATGTCTGAGCTGTACGAACTCTTCTGGGACGTCCTTTACGACTATGATTCCCAAGGAGTTTGGGCCAAAGGCATCAACCAAGGTTTGAAAGGAGACATTGCCTTATTGGGTGAGCTCCCATTTTTCAGCGCACTAATGGGCAGGCATACATACCATTCTTCAGATCCTCAAGACTGACCGTTACCGCGGCGGAAGTCATATCGAAGCAGAAATAAAGGAAATTTAAAGGGGAGAACAAAACGGAAGATGTTGAAGATGATTTACAGTTTCGGTAAATTCGAATTTTAATTATATCGGCTGGCTTTTGGCGGAGGAGAGGAAGTTCGGCCAAATCCGACGGTGAAGGATCGCTTCTTCAGGTCTAGTGCACAACTCCAAGCTCTCAATCCGGAAGGTCAAGCGTGAAGTCAACACTCTACGAACGCAACAAACAAAGGAGCACTGCAGCATGGTCAAACCATTGACATTCAAAGGCGACAAGAAAGTGAGGAAGAGAAAGCGCGTCGACGTGGCAGAGAAGTTTGGAGATGAGGATGGCTCCTCGTCAAAGCAAGTTGCGCTATCTAAGGCCGATGAGGACCCCGCTGTGGATGGCGATAGCTGGGTAACGGCAGAAGCTACAGGAGACGTCGTTGGGCCGATTGTCCTGGTGTTGCCCTCAGATCCACCAAGCTGTATAGCATGCGATACGAATGGCAAAGTATTTGCAAGCGCATTGGAGAATATTATCAATGATGACCCTTCCACGGCAGAACCACACGATGTTCGACAAGTCTGGGTTGCCAATAGGGTGGCAGGCACGGAGACATTTAGCTTTAAGGGTCACCATGGAAGGTATGCTCCCTGCGCTCCTTGCTGATACGAGCACATACTAACTAGGTAGTCAAGGTACCTGAGTTGTGACAAGTACGGCATCCTGTCAGCCAACACAGAGGCTGTATCACCATTCGAATCCTTTCTCTCCATACCTACGGCGGACACACCTGGAACATTTCAGATTCAAACTCTACGAGATACGTTCCTCACGATCAAGCCTTCTATATCGTTGAAATCTAGTGCGCTTCCTGAAGTTCGAGGCGATGCGGAAGCCATTACTTTCAACACCACATTCCGGATACGAATGCAAGCACGATTCAAGCCGAAACTGAAGGCATCGAAAGAGGAGAAGGCAAGAGAGAAAATTAGTAAGAAGGAGCTAGAGGAGGCTGTTGGCAGAAGGCTTGACGATGACGAGGTCAGGAAGCTGAAGAAGGCAAGGAGGGAGGGGGACTACCACGAAGCGTTGTTGCTTATCAAGGTTAAGAATAAGCACGACAAGTACAGCTAAGGAGGTACCCCATGCCCATGGCTGTTTACACCAGGCATTGCAAGTGATGTATCAGTAAAACAGGTTGACTGGTGCTTTTGAGAATATCAATGAACCAGAGGCTGTTTTGGAGCAAGACCCGCATCAGGCCATTGCTTCCATCATTTTCTTTGACAGCGCAGACATCAGCTGGGAGAGCTCTGATTCTGTGAGTGGTCTTATGCCCCAAAGTTTCACGCCCTGCTTTCTCTCCACCTGAGCTCTTAGAATTACTACAACATTGTCCGAGCATAGAGCCCCTATAATCTCCTTTTTCTATATCACCCACCCGGTGATTCTTTGCTATACTGTTGAGACGGAGGTATCACCTTGGTACCGCACGTTTGCAAGCAAGTGATCACAAGCTGAATGTCAGCACTTCCAGCTAATTGTCCTGGCTGACCATTGGTGTAGGCTTCTTATTGTTGATGCGTATATCACGCCAGGTCTGCCACTGGTTGAAAACGCCAAATAAAAAATGGTGCCTAGTTATCGGTATTCATAACGCGGATGCGTTCTGTTATCTTATTCACATCGTTTTCAACCTAGACAAATAGACTGTTGGCAATTCCTGCACTCATGGCTCGCCTTATTTCCTGTTTTTTATCACTACCAATCTCGTCATAGGATTTAAATATGCGCCAGACTCTTTTTGAAAGAGATCTAATGTGGTATTGCAATTTCGTCTAGCCAATCAGCAATCTTGAAATTCCACCAGTGGCCTTCCATACATCATGGCAGGCTCCTCTAGAGCGTGCCAATGAATCCAACACTGCAGAACTTGCCCGATCGAATGAAAGAAGAGTAAGTAGTGCACAGTCTGAAGCAGCTTTTTGCTAGTTGCCTCTATGAACCAAACTGCCATTGCTTGTCTTTTGTCCTCCCGTGAGTGATGAACTGGCGCATCACTACCAACGCTGATGGACTACCACAACGCCAGAAGACTTCTCCAGCCTTACTTGCCATAACCACAATGATCACACCTGCTTGCCCAGAGCATGTAGGGATCGAATACATCCTACTTCCTCGTCCAATGGCTAGGACCATTACTGCACATCTATATCAGGACGTGACTCGAAATGTAGCTCCTCAGAGTCCAATACAGCAGTGCTTACCAGATAGCTACATTCAGATACGACTTTCAAATTAGCAACCATGTACTACACCACGCTTTCCATGAGTTGCTGACTCAGGAGTCGATTTTTAACTCTGGTACTAGGATTGACGGTTCGGAAGCAGTGTCATCCATCTCACCTCCGACGCTTCGTTCTGCATCCTTTTCTTGTGCTTCTGACTGGCAGATAGACTCATCCCGTTTATCGCAGCCAGGGCTGGTGAAATCCTTAGAACTGTGCTACATGAGGGTCTAGGTACAGTTACGTTCGCGTTATTTTGAGCATCGGGAAAGACAAGTAGTGCTCGATGAATTGGGCTCATTCTGGTCTTTATTTTCGTGGATGTCTGTATACGTGTAGCTACTGCTCCAAATATCGGCAGAGAAGCTATATTCTTTACTATAAATAGAACATTTTCTGTACCGACCCTCTTACGCAGCGTGGCAAAGTGAAAACCCAGAGCCACCTCAATCGAAGGATACCCGAGTTCACGTGACAGGCAAGTATGCAATTTGAATCAGTGTCAACCTTGCGTGCTTGAACATGCTGAAATGAAGGAATGGCGGGAGTGAAAAGTCTACATCGCTACAATTCCTCATTTTTCTGCTTTCCGACCAAAAGAGAGCAGCGCTCAGAATCTTCCTTGTGTAGCATAGCCTAAAAATTTCAACACATCTAAAAAGTCTCCTCAACCGCATCCGAGCCACAGCACACTGCCCTCTGTAAAATGTACAATCTCAACACCTCGTCTTCCTTCCATATCAATTCAGCAGCAGGAACGTATGTCTATGATATTGTACCTGTAGCTGCTGGCCTTGCAGCAATATCGTCGGACGACTGTCTGCGGCTTCTGGATCCGCTGGCGCTTCATGCCGGGGCTGTGAACGAGATCAAGGATGTCAATGCAGATGTTACTTGTTTGAAGGCGGTAACTGTGGGAGAGGAAGGAGATGCACTGATTGTTTGTACGTCAGGGAGAGATGGAAGAGTTGCGCTATGGGATCTGAGAAGCGGTGCGAAGATTGGGGAAGTTAGAAGTGGTGAGAAAAACATGGACTTCTTCGAACGTGGCTGAAGGCTGCTGATGGTATCTGATAGAAGGAAATGCTCCCATATTGTCCCTGGCCTGCTCTTCGCCATACGGTCTAGCGGCAGGTACGGAGTTGACAAATCATCAAGCGTCTGTTGTGGTTTGGTAAGTCAAAGAGTTCGTTCGGGTCCTCCAACGCTGAGAGGTCTAGGGATACGAGAATTCTGAGCGCGCCTGCAGTGCAATACATCGAGAGTCACAGTGATGATGTTACAGAAGTCTGCTTCTCTCTTCTTGACGAATGACCGCACCTACTAACCTTGCCGCAGCTTCAATTCCACCCAACAGAGCCTCAAATACTCCTATCGGGCTCCACGGACGGCTTGGTCAACATTTTCAATACTACAATTACAGATGAAGAAGATGCACTGCATCAGACCATTAACCATGGGGCCTCGATTAGTCACGCAAACTTTCTCAATGAGGTTGATATCTTTGCTGTGTCTCATGATGAGAAGTTCTCTATGTACAGACTTGTCACAAACCCCGAGGAAGGCGTCGAAGAGCCGCTGCCTGTTCATCATGGTGATGTGAGAGAGTTGCTGGGAGGAGAGTATGTTGCGAATGTGCTTAGGAGGGCCGATGGTGGTGCTGTCATTGGTGTTGGCACTCACAGGTATGCTGAAATTCGATGGAGTGATATTTTACCGTGCTGTACTGATGGTAAAACCTACAGTCGAGAAACTTTCGATCTCATCCAGTTGAGGAATTTACCACCTTGGTCATTCTCTCCGGAGGATAAAGTCACGCTGCTAGGAGCTCATGGTTCTGAGATCGTCCGATCATTTTGCTTCTTGGACTCCGTAAGTATGCGTCGCTGCACCATTTGTCGCTAATCTAATGCTCTTCTAGCATCAAACCGTTCTGACGTGTGGGGAGGATGGTGCGATACAGGCATGGAAGGGTGATTAAGTGCCAGAAGAATAAGAAAAGAAAGAAGAAAGCTAATAAATTCCAACTTTTCAAACGTATCGTAACTTTTATCGATAACCAGCCTGCTTTAGAATGTACAATTCCATTCCTAGACTTCTTGGGAGAAAACTTGTCGTTGGCGAGGCTGTGAACAAATTTGTCAGCCCTGCATGGTCTCGTGCCTGTGCCGAGCCCATCTGGAGCTTGAGAAGATGACACTTGGAGATCAACAACTGAACTGACCAGCTCGCAAACACCCCGCAACTACGCCCGTTTCTCTTCGATATGCCCGGCACGAAATAGATGGACCATGACCACTCTACTGCTACTACTTCTTACGTGAAGTAATTACTATTGCGCAGAGTTCAACAAAATGAAGAAATGGACCAGAAGGCTGTGGTCCTTGGTCTGTATGTTGTGATACCTAGATCCTCACCATACTCAGAAGCTAATCTCTACACCGCGACTTAGTTCTCCTGCCTTTCATATACCCCATAGTCCTCGCGCAAGTACATGAGGATGCGGATACGACGGTGACCGCAGATGGAAGCTCACAGCCCTCAGTGGCCGCGCAGCCACCATCGCCACAGCACCCATTCCACGAACAAGCTGATGGCAGGAGGAAGATTGATGGTAGGGGCAAAAACCATTGCTGGAGCTGTAAGCTGATTTGATGAAGGTGCCGAGCAGGTCGACAAAGCTCTTTTCTTCCTACGTGGATATGAACGATTGCATCCTCGGCCGTCACGGAAGGCACCGGGACTACTGGGCGTCTTTTGGAACTACCTCTTGTCACTGATGCCACAGTTCTCGACTCTGGGGCCAGCTTCAGAAGGATCGGTTGAAGGGCATAGAGAACTTCCTGGACCTGTGGCAGATGCTGTGCGGTTATTGGAAGAGGCGGCGCAGGTTAACAATCCAGACGCTATATTCCTTCTCGCTGAGATACACTTCTATGGAAACTTCTCTGTTCCGCCAGATTATTCACAGGCCTTCAGACGGTATCAGCAATTAGCCTCGTTGGATGGGAATAGCTCAGCACAGCATATGATAGGATTCATGTACGCCACTGGATTCGGAGGAGTTGTTGAGCAAGACCAAGCAAAGTCCCTGCTTTACCATACCTTTGCAGCTGAAGGAGGGAGTGTCAAGTCCGCGATGACAGTCGCGTTTCGATACCATGTTGGAATTGGGGTTGCCCAGAGCTGCAATACTGCCGTCAAGCACTACAAGAAGGTCGCTGACAAAGCTATTGAATGGTTCCGATCTGGTCCGCCTGGAGGGATGGCATGGGTTCCCGATTCTTATCGACTTGCAGATGAAGATGGAGGTGTCTATGGTGAGGGGGCAAGCTTTTCTAGCTCAGGGAACAACAGGAACAAGGCAGGCGTTAATTCGGATGCACATGCTGCACTAGACGATGTACTCGAGTACCTAGATTTGATGTCACGAAAAGGAGACTTCAAGGCCACTTTTAGTTTGGGACGAATCCACTATGATGGCCAAAAGGGGCTTTCCAGGAATATGAAGAGCGCAAAGTGGTATTTCATGAAAGTTGCCAAGCTCTACTGGACGAGAAACGGCCAAATCATCGAGAGCGAGAAGCAAGGATTGGAAAAAATTGCGACCAAAGCGGCCGGCTACCTTGGTCGAATGTTTATGAGGGGAGAAGGTGTTGAGCAAAGTTTCGAGAAGGCTCAGATCTGGTTCCAAAGAGGTATCAAGAGTGGTGACGCTGGGTCTCAATATGGAATGGGATTAATGTACTTGGAGGGACTTGGTGTGCCCAAGAACTCAGTTAAGGCACAGGAGTATCTCAAGACTGCGGCAGACCAAGATTACTCTCCTGCCCAGGTTGCCTTGGGCGCTTTATTCTTGGATCAAGGTACCGCAGCTGATGTACAAGTGGCCACTAAATATTTTGAACTGGCCGCTCGGTATGGCCATATCGAGTCATACTATTACTTGGCGGAACTCATTGAGCAAGGTATCGGAAAGGAAAGAAGCTGTGGCCTTGCGGCCATGTACTATAAGAGCGTTGCGGAGAAGGCTGAACCTCTTCTCTCATCATTTGCTGAAGCAAACGACGCGTATGAGAATGGCGATCATGAGCTAGCGTTGATCGACTACATGTTTGCAGCCGAGCAAGGCTACGAGAAGGGACAAGCGAATGTTGCCTATCTCCTCGATCAGCAAAAGTCGAAATGGGCCTTTCCATCATGGTTATCCCTGAACTCGATCCCTCGACCTCCCCTATTCCGAAATGGTGCTTTGGCTCTGATGTACTGGACAAGGTCTGCCAAGCAGTCCAATATAGACTCCTTGGTTAAGATGGGCGATTACTACTTGGAGGGTATTGGAACACAAGTCGATTTGGAGAAGGCAGCTTCTTGTTACACGGCAGCGTGTGAGTACCAGCAAAGCGCACAGGCGCTTTATAATCTGGCTTGGATGCATGAAAATGGTGTTGGTCTTACCCAGGATTTCCATTTGGCGAAGAGATATTATGATCTTGCCTTGGACACAAACGAGGAGGCATATCTCCCTGTGACTCTGAGCTTGCTGAAGCTGCGACTCAGAAGTGCATGGAACACTCTCACACAGGGCTCAATCAACTCCATCCAAGATGAGCCAGGTAAGGATTCAAAATATAAAACCTTGAGGCCAGAGCTAACAAACTGTAGCACCAAAGAAACAGTGGTCGATGAGTGAATGGATCTCCAACTTTCTCCGAGATGACCACATGTATTATGGTGACGCTGATTACGATGACAACTATCTACCCGAAAACGACCCCATGCCAGGTGGAGATGCGGATGGTATGTATGAGGACATTATCGATGATGGGATTGTAGAGAGCATTCTTATCATCGTCCTAGCTGCTGCTTTGGTGTTCCTGATCTATTACCGCCAGCAACGTCAACAGGCACATCGAAGAGGCCAGGAAGCTGGGGCTGCTCAAAATGGCGTCGCGCCTGAAGGACAACAGCAGCGGCAACAACGACAGGATAATGGCCTATTCCCTCAGCCTGGAGATCCGGACTTTGGTCAGTGGGTTGCTGGGGGTGTGGGTCATTGAGAAGAATAAATGGATGCATAGCTGAGCGTGTAACATGAGTAGCGTCAATGATTAAACAATATGATAACCTAGTGGGCCTCTATTACCCACACCTGAGATTTGCGTTGCTGTCAGGTGCTTTTGCGGCATTGTCCTTCAAGTGATTTGCCTGGACTTGATGGCAGGGAATGACGAGATTGTTGAGATGTCTAAGTTAGTAAGACGAACGTTTTATGGGACGATACTCTATACCTTTGCCCAAACATCGAAGTTAGCAGTACGGCATATTATTGAGGCATGGAGTGGTGACTGAAACTTCTGCCCAAAGACTAGGTAGGTAGACGTACCTATCCGAGCTAACCAACGCTAAGGTAGGTACGAGTACTGTAGGTGCCGAACCGGCCTTGGTCTTGGCATAAAGTTGGCTGACATTCGTTCTCCGCACTCTCAATGTCACAAGACTTCTTCCAATTCAGTGATCGTAAATAACAACAACAACAACAACGACAACGACAACAACGTCATCACAGTGCTATTACCCATTGATCCATGACTTACATCTAAAAGTACTAACAATCATAAAGATGTCCACTCCAGCCGCCAAACGCCGCAGAATCGACGTTGCATCCCAGACTCTCTCCAAGCCTTTCCGCTCTCCCTTCAAGACACCCTTCAAGTCGCCCGTGACAAACGTTCAGGCACAACACACCACATCGACCCCCGCACAAACCGGTGCGCCTCTCTCATCCCGAATAGCCAATACTCTACTCTCAAATGCGCCGAAGCCCCCCAGCCTGCCAGCACCTTTGTCCTCCTCTCGTGCACCCCGCATCAAGAAGACCTTCTCATCGCCTGTAGCAGCTGCTGCTCTCAATGCTGACCCAGACATTGCGCCGATGCTCAAAGCTCAGAGCGAGTTAGAGAAGCAATTGAGGGAGGTCAAAGAAGCGCTGGATAGTGCTGAGCAAGCTAGGAAGATTGAAACAGACAGTCAAAAGCGGGATCATGATGGTGAACTTGACGGAGAGCTGCTTGAACTGATCGAGAAATGGAAAGGGGCCAGCCGGTTAGCTGCTGAGGAGCTGTTTAGCAAGGTCAGGGATAGAGTCAATAGGTAGGCTACCCATCGCTTATGGACCGACCATGACTGATACCTTTTAAGGATGGGCGGACCCAGAGCTTGGAAAGAAATGCAGAAGCAGCAAGAGGAGAATCGAAACTCTTGGGATCAAGAGGAACAGAACTACAACAATGACTCAAATGATGAGAAGAACAAGGAGTTGGAGACCAGAGATGTTTATGCTGAGTATAGTATTGATCCAGAGACGGAGATCGAGAGATCACAGCGTGAGAAGAGTCTTGGGGATACCGGGGAGCTCCCAGGACAGGAGGATGTAGGTCTCACTGTTACCAATGCGGCCGCTTTATACTTACCCGCTGTAGGAGTTTACTATGGCTATGATGCTAAGAACGCTAAATGTTGACTTGGACATTATCGGATACCACCGAGGACAGCAGAGGTGGATATAAAGGTAACGGGACGCCTGACCCAGACGGAGGCATTCGCAGGAGCTTGATATCGAGCGGCCTTGCCTTGTGATTTCTACAGAGTTGAAACCTAGGCATAGGCTCCATGAACTTAGAGCTTGAAATTATGCACTTTTGATTTGACATTGTTAGAGAGATTTCCAGATTTTTGTTTTTCTTGCTTTGAACTAGTAGCACTGCCGATAATCCGACCAACTTAACTGCTGTGGCTTATTGACTCTATTTTATGTCTCAAGGCTACTTGGTGTCTTGAGCAGGTCGTATTTCCAATCAGTAACACGGCTATAGAAAATCTCAACACAGACGTAGTACTATGAGTATAGTAGGCAAATCACTTACACACTTCGCAGGGTCCCAGCTGAGCCTTGCAGAGGCAATTTGCAGGATTGGGGCAATGCAGATGGTATTCAGATCAGCCTCCTCAAGATTTTTACATTCTACACTATGCTTCGCATCTTCATGAAGTCATTGAGTCTGAAATTGCCAGTTCAAGGTGTTTCGAACATATAGCAAGGCAGGAAGAAGCAAGGAATCAAAGTCTATTACGGTACTCTCGAGTCACCCGGCCGTCTTCAGCGACGAGGTTGCACCACAGATCAAAGACAAGGCACTAATTTCGACATAGTACTGCTAAGTTGTTTCTGCTACGAGGCATACTTTTAACGTTATATATCTGAGACAACATCCGTGGTACCGGACAGGTGAGTGCAGTGAGTGCTGGATTGAGTAGCTAGCTCGCAGACAATGCCGAGGCATCTTAAACCCAGCTTACCTGCTACATTTGGGCCAAACACTTCGAGAAGAAGGTAAAAGCGTTGCTAGCGATGACAATAGTATCTTTCTGCCGCATTGGGGTTCGAAGAGGTCAAGAGATTTGTTTAAACCTTGCGACTCCCGCCCAGATCATCATGAACCAGTCGATATTCATTCCACAGCTCACGGCGAAAAGCTGTGATCAATCAAAGCCACTCTGAAAGAGTTAGATTCTCAGGCTGCTCACGCTGAGCTTCAAGAGACTATGGTGGACTGGATGGACTAGCGTGTGTGATGACCCAGCTAGGTAGATGATGCAGCGATGCTTGGATTAAGAGCCGCGGAGCCTGTTGCGCATATCTTGATGGCAGCGTGGATGATTCACTGGAAGAGTTGAAGGGAAGAAGGTAGAATTTGAGCTATATGAAGGCAGCATGGATTGAGAGGAGAACCGAGACGTTCCAGCTTTCGCGACAATTCGAAATCATCAAGGTATTAGGTAGGTATGCAATGAATGAAGCCGATACCACCCCCAACATTGCATCACAGCTACCCCAACACCTGTGCGCACTGCCATTCGATATTATCCAACTTGATGATTACGATGAATACACATATGGAAGGCTGTCTGCGCCTCCTTCACTTTCTAACCTACGAGTATAGCCAACATCTTGGTACGGTACGAGAGCAGTGAACCTGGCAGTTATGAGCTCGACGGTGGCTGGATGTAGATACCTAAGTAGATGGCGGGCGGGGCTCGAAGGTACGGCACGGCAACGGTGAACAGTGACGCACTGCTCGTCTAGTCTCTTTTGGTATAATTCTGGCAGCGGGATCTACCTTACCTAATCTAAGCAAACTACGGAGGTACATCACCATAAATAAAGGACCAATTTCCGTAAGGTTACCGTAACGCTCGCTGCCTGCCTATCCCCTCAACTGCCGAAAACACACTTTTCCAGGGCACGGCGCTGAAGCGAGGCGCTAAGGCTGCCTGGACGACAACGAATTTCAGCGTTCTTCGCTTAATTACAGGGTCTCGCTACAGGTGTGTTTGATACGGCAGTTGAGGGGATAGTGCACACCCACCCCAAGTATATAAACTAAAGGCGAACTTGGTAATGTGAATGATTCAAAAAGCCGAATTTCTAGTTTGGTGTGACGTGGTTGTTTTGATGGGGTTTCAGAAGGCAATGACCAGGACGCCATGCGATGTGAGTATAAGCATAAGCATAAGCATACGCATGGAAGGGTGGCTGAATTGATTGACCAAGTGCAATTCGGCTGCAAGAGATGAGATGGACAGAACTCACAGAAGTCGTGCAAAAGCACGCTCTGTTCTACCTAATTACCTATCCATGAACCCCTGATCTTCAGGCGCACCCAACCTTGGAAAGCGTGGACTCTCAGATCCTGCTCGTGCTCCTGATCCAACATCCAACAGCCTGATCAGACAGCCGGCGATCAAACGATGGTCCACACGACATAACACAGCATCCATTCCTCTCCATTCCATTGTGCAACAACAGCCGGGAAGGAGCATGATCTATACCCATGATGCGCGAGAAAGATATCAAGGGAGACGGGAACTGGTGCGGGAGCACTACTGATGGCGACTGGTCACTACTGCTGAGCATCGCACATCAGATGGAAATGCATGACATGCTTGCTTGGATCGCTCCCCTGACAGTGTCCACAATCCAGACCAGACTGGTCGGCCGCGTGTTTCACGCACGTTTATTTGGCCCAAACCTGAAAAGGCAGACATCTTGCTCTTTGAACAGTCAAAAACAGACGTGTTTCTTCCCTAAGCCAGCTTTCAGCTCGTATCCAATCTTTTCTCCGGCAGGCAGGCGGATAAACAACCCCGATCCGATTGATTGAGGCAGGACAGGAAGGTGGAGAACTATACGTTGCATTGCCTTGTTAAGATATTATTTTCTCCTTTACACGTCGCTCTGATTGGTGTGCCTTGTGGCGCAGTCTACTCTGCTCTTCTTTCTTTTTAATTGGGTCCTTTCGTTCGTTCATTCAATCTCTGTATTGGTTGTGTCTACATTCTGGCTATTGTCCTATCTGGATATCCAAGGCAAGGATTAGGAAGGAGAGGACGGGAGGGGTGCAAGAGTGATTGATATAGATACGAGAGCCGGCTCTCTTTCGAAAATGGCCGGACCCAATTCTCCTTCTACTGCAGCGCTTTTGCGACTCCAACTTCCGACACAACCACAACCTGCCTCACAGTCGTTTCGTCCGCTCGAGTACTGGAAACCGCCCAAAGCGGTCCGCCACATCCGCAAAGTAAGCAGCCGGATCTTTTCGCCCAACAAAGAAACACATACAACTGAGATCCACGACCCAGAGAAGCAAGACTTGGAACTCCGAGAGAGGGAAAGGGCAGCCGAGGAGTTTTTTCATAGTAAAGGCATGTCGTTCGCTACCATTGGGGAAATGAATGGGAGGAGGAAGACTTTCGCCAATGAGCAGATTATGTCCAATGACCGTGCCGATACGCTAAATCAACCGTGGTGGAAAGTGACGAGCTGGGGAAAGAAGGCCTGGGCTATCTTTACAGCAGTAGTGATCATAACTCTCATTATCGTTGTTGCGACTGCTGTGGTAGTTTCGAGGAACAGCAGATATCCGACATATTCGACACAATTATATTCCCTGTCAGAAACTTGTGAGTTTTTACCCTGTGCAATTTCTTATACCTTTGGTACTAGTCGTATAAGTGCTGAAATACAGAAATAGTCTCAGGAGAATCCTTCTTCTCAGACAACTTCGATTATTTCACAGGCTACGACCCAACCAACGGCCATGTCCACTATGTGCCAGCCGAGCAAGCCTCAAGCCTGAACCTCACCTACACGACTGCCACGTCCGCTATACTTCGGGTTGATACATCCGTTTCCAACTCGTCCATTCCCAACGCATCGACAGGCCGTTTCTCCGTCCGCGTTACGTCCAAAAAGCAATACGGACTCAACACCCTATTCGTTTTTGACGTCAAGCATTCCCCAATAGGCTGCGGTACCTGGCCAGCTCTCTGGCTTACTGACCCTTCAAACTGGCCTGAAAATGGCGAGATCGACATCATGGAAGCTGTAAATGTCGTCGACAACTCTTTCAACCAAATGACTCTTCATACTTCCAAAGGCTGCACAATGAAAGGAGTCAAGCGGAAAGAGACTGGCAAGGTCATCAGTTCGTCCTGCGTCAATACCACGGACGCCAATGCTGGCTGTGGCGTAAATGCCGGGACTGACACCACTTTCGGCGATACATTCAACAGCAATGGAGGCGGTGTCCTTGCTTTGGAGCTCAGACAGGCTGGAATTCGCATGTGGCAGTTTGCAAGAGATGTGGTACCCAGTAATGTGTGGAGTTCTCCTGACCCAAATTCTTGGGGACCTGCCACAGCCGATTTCCCGAATACTGAGTGTGACATTGAGAACCACTTCCGAAATCAAAGTATCGTAGCGAATATCGATCTCTGTGGTGATTGGGCGGGTGCGCAGAAGGTCTATGGCAAGAATTGTGAGTTGCTCCTATGTCGAGAATACGTTGCTTGATCCAGACTAGCTTCTCGGCTTAATGTCACCTACTGGCTTCTGGTTTGAAGATACCTAGATGGCTGATGTTCTGGGTATTTTAGGTCCTGGCACTTGCGTCGACCATGTCTCAAACAACAATACTGCTTTCAAGAACGCATACTGGGAGTTCGGCAACTTCGCTGTTTTTAGGGTTTCATGAGATAACCGACAATACAGCAAAGCCAACCCAAAATTTTCAACGCAATCCATTCTCGCAGTGGTTTTATCATGTCCGGCGACATTCTTGTATGCACTTGAAGAGACTAATATTTCGATGATTTGGCAGCAGGCGTTCTGGACTGGACTGGACCGACCTTCTGGATAGATGGAGACCCTAGATGGGCGACCTTTGCTTGGGGAGAAGTGGATTTGGAAGTTATTACGTAGTAGTAGTAGTAGTAGTAGTAGCAGCAGGGGGAATGTTTAAGAAGCTGTGGTCTCGTTTGAGCTGGATCGTGAGAGGTGTAGGGGGAGCCCCGCTTCGGATTCGGAGGTTTATAGCAAAGAGCACATGCTCCATCGGCAGGACCGAGAGAATTGTACGTAGAATCCTATGGTTAACTCGAGGATAAGGACTCATCTGAGTCCATGGGCTGTGCTCCACGACTTGTACGGACGCTACTTACCAATCTTATGAGTGTCCAATTGTTGGCCAAGCAGCGGGACTTCTGATAGTGTATAATCAATCGAGGCTGATCATATCTATTTCGAGAAGATCAGATCAAAATCAATGTCAGGGTCTCAACGTGTATTGCTTTTCGTCACAATTCCCTTGAGCTGGCTCTGGATAATCGGGAAATGCAGCCTCGTCAGCCACATGCACGGGCCACCTCGCCACAGCCTCGCCACTAAAAATCTCGCCGGCTCGAGCCTACCTAACCTTAAACCTCACTCATTCTCTATCTCGTATTCATTGCTGTATTGTACTTCAGCAGCTACCACGGAGCGAAGTCGAACCAAAGACACACCCTTCTTACTCTCAGCTTTCCACTCCCGGCTCTCTACGGTCGGCTTCGAGGTAATTCGGCGCGATCATGAACGGACCAATGTGGACACCTGGAGGCGTGGGCGGAGGATATCAGAGCGATACGCAAGATGAGCAGGCCAAGGCTGTGGTCAAAAGTGTAGGTTTGTGAGACAGATTTTCCCAACTCGCGTTATTCTGAAGATTATGGGCTTTGGGAAAGGAGAAATGGGGCTCGGCTACATCTGATGGGTTGAATGGGAAGAGATGTGAGCAAGAGGCTGGGATGGCGTTCCGACTTGTAACTGCGTAGTTGGAGCTGCTGATGTGCTGGAATTCGAAGTTCGGGACTCGAAACCAAGGGAGGGCTCTACTAGCAAAGGCGTGGGTTTTTATCCAGCTTAAGTACGCGATTAATTCGCGTAGGAAGCTGTCGGGGTTTGGTATGAAAGACTTTGGGGCTAAGGCAAGGATAAAAAGACTCGGCTGGGTCTCCTTACACATGTATGATCACAGACTGAAGCACAAACTAACACATATCTTCACAGATGCAAGCTCTGATGGAGTCTTGCCCTGGTAAAACTGCCGTCTCGGGCGTAATGGGGTTCGCCCTCGGCGGAGCCTTTGGTCTTTTCATGGCCTCTGTAAGTGTTCATCTCATCACCTCCCGGCATGAAGCCCTTCGCACTGACAACGTTTAGATGCAATACGATACTCCCCTCCATACACCTGGCTCTGCCGGCGCAACGGTCGCCTCCCTTCCACTCCGAGAACAACTCAAAGCTGGGCTTCGCGATATGGGAGCGCGCTCTTTCTCCTCCGCGAAGAACTTTGGCAAGGTTGGTGCTATATTTGCGGGAACAGAGTGTTGTATTGAGGGCTTTCGCGCGAAGAACGATCTTGCGAATGGAGTACTCGCGGGGTGTATTACAGGAGGCGTTTTGGCTGCCCCTGCTGGTCCACAAGCTGCTGCGTTGGGTTGTGCGGGCTTCGCGGCGTTTTCAGCGGCTATTGATGCGTATATGAGGAGGCCGAGTGAGGTTGATTAGGTGATAGGGAAGAGCCGAATTTTGCTTCTGGCAGAGAAGGTACGAGTGCTGCTCAATAGATTAGGATGAGGATGGACCTTTGATAAGGTTTTGTGATACTTATATATGTGCATTTTGGTTTGCCGGCCGGCATTGCAAGGCGTTATGGGGATGTACTAGCAAGTCGTATACCGGCTCCGCTCTCGGTTATCTGGATACTATAGGGATGATGTCTGATAGAGAGGCGTCGTTGAATCATGATCTCACCGACCGAGAAGAAGTTTCTTGTAATTTCACAATCTCAACTAAACAATCTTTACCATGATTCTGACTCACTGACAGAATAACCAGATTTCACCTTCCAGTTCTACGCCCTTGGATCCATTGAATCATGTCTATTTATATGGTCGATCGACCATATATTGCTTTCTTCTTCAGTTCAGAATCTAAGCTATGGAGACTCGACATCTGCGATATCCATATATGTGCAGCACAAATGCACATAAAGGAACAAATTTCAGCATCCATATATACACAGAAACTCTGCGATATGCTACCATTCTATTGCGGTTCCTCAAAATTCCGAGTACAGCACAAGATTGATCCATCCCAGGACTGATTCAGAACTCTATAGCCAATTATGGTGGAGAAGTGTAACCATGGAGGGGAATACAGGAATTTTCGCACGAGTGCTGGAATGTTTTCTCTCAGAAACGCCATTTCGTTCCGGATCGTCTCGAGAGCCACGATCTGCAATACCAGGCCTACGCGGCAAGATACATCATAAAGCCAGCCGCCCTATTGCGTGCTGAGAGATACCATGTATGGAGCGGTGGCGTTGAGTTGGTATGAAGGATTACCGAAGATTCCAGACGTCGCCAGATGAGATTGAAGAATCTTGCTCTGGAAAGACAAAAGTTGGTCAGACGGCAGTGACGTACAGCTGACTGGTTCGGAATTTGGAATGAAATCGCTGCGAGCCTGCTGTCTTTGGATGCGACAATGACCAGCACACCAATATGCTGGCAGAACAGACCAAAAACGTAGCTTGGGTTATATTCTGGAACTCTTTGCTCGGTTAACAATGTACATGTAAGAGATTGAATAGCCTGCAAAATTATCTCCATCTGGTCTATCGAGCATATGCTCAGAACCACCTTTAAGATATGGCTCGCTGCAGGTTTGATTGGAGGAAACTTTTTGCCCCTGTGGTCCCAAGGATGGCGAACGACCATGTTAGAATATTGAACGACTGGCAGGGCGCCAGTAAATCGCATGTTATTTAATCACATACAGTGTAGCTCCAATTTCGGCTATGAGATCATTCATTTTGCCGCCACTGACAGACTCAACTTTGAAAGTAATTAGATTCGCACGAAATGAGCCCGATTTGCCGCATTTGAGAACGAAATCGGTGATGTTACTATGGCTTCAATACACCCCCAGAGAGTCAGCGACACCAAACTGCTGCTACTACTACTACTAGATGTCGTGGTTGTCGAGGGAGGTAATCAATATTGTGCAATTTGGTGACACAGGTAGACGTGACATTTCCGTGGATAAATCCAAAATTAGTATTGATCCTTACACTTTCAAGCTTTGAATTCCTAGTTATACGCCTTAGCTCAATGAACTGCCTTGAACTTGCTAATGGGTAACATATTTGGGATGTTGTGATATGCTTAGAGTTGTTTGGGATACACACCACGCTTGCAAATAGAAGCTGCAGGCCGCTTGGGGTCTGTGGCGCCCTTCACCATAGACTGCAGATTCGTGCTTGTGTTTGTATAAAGCAAGTGGCCGGATGGACCAATCCAAGTGTGCTGACCGAGTTAATCTGGAAGGCTATCCGAGACTGCGGACGATTGTAGCCTCCGTGCGAGCTTGCTCATCACAGCCGAAACACTACTTCTGAATGAAATTGAACTAGCATGGCCTGAGTTAATAATGTCGCTGACTCCAGGGAATGAGCCCAGCCATCAACAGATCCTCATTATTTGGATCGGGTGCTGTGAGTACTCTCCACTGTTCCTGGCTGATGTTCTTGCCATGTAAATTTACCTCATATCCAGGAAGACTTGTATCAGTCAATTTGTCGCTCAGTGCATTTCCCGCAGCAGTCTTAAGTAGTAGGCGTAGATGGATGGTGTCGTGATCAGCTGGTCGTCGGTTTGTCCGCCTATTGGGTACTTCCAATTCAGACTCAATGATTCTGTTATGATCACTAGCTCCGTAGCACGCTGAGGCGACTTCAAGGCACATAGGGATCACTGGAGAGCATCGCAAGGTTCACTGGTGACACTGAATCGAACAGAAGCTAATTGATAAGGCGCGAAGAGCCTACGGCTCCTGAGTCCTGAGTCGCTCCTTTATGATAACCCCTTAACTGCCGAAAACACACTTTTCCAGGGCACGGCGCTGAAGCGAGGCGCTAAGGCTGCCTAAACGGCAACGAATTTCAGCGTTCTTCGCTTTATTATAGTCTCGCTACAGGTGTGTTTGATACCTTACGGCAGTTGAGGGGGTAAGTTGAGGGGATAGAGCCCGATTAGGTATGTCTACTACGGTAATCAACGTGCATTACAGACTCGACACGATCCGTACGTACCTATATATCTTGCTTGCCATTTGTTGCTCAACGTCGTCCAAATGCGAGAGAAAATAGCAAAGCTGTAGTCACAAGATAAGGATATAAGAACATCGTGTGCTCAACCTTATTTGCTAAAGCACGAAGAGGTAGTGTGGGTCACGATTCGGCCCTCCTTGTGCCTCGGACTTACAGTAGAGTCGAAAAGGCGAGCTGCAAAGTCAGTGTCGCTTATCCATGGCGCCGCCCAAACAAGCCTCCTAAATCCCGATCGAAGAGAATTCTCCCTCCTCTCTTTCTAGCATCCGCCAGGAACGAAACAGCAAGGACGAAATTCTCACACACATCAGACGATAAACTGCTCATCCACAAAAGCTAGCTTTCCACTGTTCCAGTATCCCTTCAAGCTGCACCCTGACCTGGCTTCCTGGGGATATTCCAGCAGGGACATAACAGTTGTTTTGGGATTGGTAACCCTCGGCCCCTTCAAAATTCATTCCCCTATTCCAACTATCTCCTAGCTTGTCTGCATGGCGTACTGGACTGAAAATAAGCTTTGTTTGTCTGCTAGGCCTTCGTATTGAGCTGATCTGCATATTCTTGTCATCTCGCTTGGCTATACGAGGACTCCGAGGAGCTCAGAGCTGGCCGATGAGATCATGAAAGTTTGTTGCTAATTAGGAAGACCCACAAGCATCAGCATGAACGCCACTGGGAATTGGACCTTTTGCTGTTGATTAAGAATGATGGGAGCATAGAATATATAAACAACCTGTCCTTCCATAGACTTAATTGTGATCAACCAGTCACTTGAGCTGATCGTTTCCAGGGCCTATTGCAACCTTTACACCCAGTCACTTCAAAACTATGCGTTCTTCTCTTTCCACAACAGTCGCTCTCGGCGTCACTGGAGCTCTTGCGGTCAAAAGCACTTCCTATCATTACATGCCCGTTGAGTTTGAATATGGCCCCGACTCCCGTGTGACAGCCGACATCACATTTGGCACTGCACCAGCAGCCAAGCCCGTCAGAGTAGTAATGGATTCTGGCAGCGCAAATTTCTGGGTATGCAGCTACCAAAAATTGTTTCCACAGCGCATTTACTAACAACAATTGCACAGGTCTGGTCACCGGATGCCACTGTGAACTGGGGATCGCCATATCTAGGAGTTACAGGACCCTGCAACGCCAAGGTCCCAGTTAGCTACGACCCAGCTGTATCGCCCAATTCCATACTCAGCAACCATACTTCTGGGTATGCCTATGCTGGAAACGCCAAAATCGTCAGCGGAAGTCAGTATGCTAACGACACGATCATGGCAGTAGGAGGCAACGGACCCATTCCAAATGTTCAGTTCGCACTTGAGAATTTTGGGCTCTTCAAGCTTGGCGACAACGGATCTTGTGTCCCCCCGCCATACGATGAAGGGATCCTGGGTTTGTCATATTATAATGCAACCAAAACAAACGGCCCTTCATTCCGTCAGAACCTTTTTGAAAGTGGACAAATCGCATCAAAAACTGTTTTCATGTGGTTTGACAAGCACCTGGGAGCCCTCGGTGACCTTACCGGAGGCATTTTGTTTGGCGCAGTTGATACTTCAAAATACACCGGTCCACTGGTGGAAGTTGAGAACGTGGTTGCAGAGTACGACGTTGGCGTCTACGTCGCCAAGCCAAACATCACCATCGGTGGCCAGACGTTCGTCCCGGATAACGATTATAAGTGCCTTGTCGACTCGGGCGCTCATGCTGATTACCTTCCATTCGCTTACGGCAGTGGGCTTGAAGAACTTTTCTTTAACGCCACCGGCGGGCAACTTCTTAATTACAATGGCGCCGGTATCGTTGCGTTCAACGGGAGCTGTGAATCCATTCCCCAAGACTTTCATATAAAGTATACCTTCGCTGGTGTCTGTGGTCAGACTGTGGATATCAGTGTTCCGTTAAGAAATTATGCGAGGGGCCTCATCGATCCTCAAAGTACGCAGGATATCTGCTTGTTCAATCTGGAGCTCGGTGGGTGTACATTTGGTGCTCCTTTTCAGAGCGCTGCGGCTATATTGATGGACGATGAGGGAGATCGCGTGGCGTTTGCGCAAGCGGCGATTTCAGAGGAGGGAGAAGGTATTGCTGACAATTCGTTGACTGTAATCGGTTTGGGACAGAGTGTAGCCTTTTGGGATGGCCTGAGGTGATTTTATAACATAATTGATATTCCAGATTATGTCAACGACCAACTATGTACCCAAACACTCGCGCGAGAACGAAATGAAGAAAAATGACACTACAGTATGGGGCGACTTGTCATCTGACAAATCCAATTCACAGCTGCGACATCCTCGGACGATCCTCGTAGTCTTTCCAAGCCTCAGCCCACCCAACATTCCTTGCCCAAGTAGCTCCCGTATCCTCAACGCTGTCAACAATCATGTTACCGATCTTCTGCCACATGAAACTATGGAGGACTCCAACTCCCTCTCCAGCCTTCTCATATGGCTGACACAACCTCTCGGCATTCGCAACGGCTCTACCAAATTTAACGGCATGGCCATCGTCAGCAAACTCGGTCAGACGCTGGAAAATGCCCTCCCATTCTGCGTCCCCGGCCTCGAGCTTTTTGGGCGTGTAAAGAGAGATTTCGGAAAGATGGAGAGCTGCTGTGCCTCGCGATGTGTAGAGTGCAAGACTGGTGGTATGACTTAGTCGTGTTTCATCATTTCCCACCATTCGTTTTTTTTGGTTGGGGGGGGGGGGGGGGGGGGGGAGGACATATTTGCAGGAGAGTGGGGTGGACTTACTCGACATAGGCTTTCCATTGCAGCAATCTGACCTTGTTCGCAGCACTCAGGAAAGTAATCGAGTTGAAAGTGGGGTAGAATATTGAAGTGTTGGTGCAGTGCATGTAGAAGAAGTCGAATTTGACCTGTACGAGTTACCATATCAGCTGTTACGTCTATCAATGAGGCTACAGGAGGGATCTTAATGCTGATGCCTACCTGCTTTGGGGGTCTCTGAGCAGCAACCGTAAAGAAGATGGCAGCGTTCGTCATCTCAGCTGTCTTTTTGCCCAGCGTCTCGGGTGTAACTACCCACTTGCTCGCAATCCGAATCATTTCCTCTGGGGCACGAACGAGAACTCCATCGCGGACTTTATTGGCATCATCGATGTGAGCCGAGTTAGCCAGCTTGTTGTCGGCATATATTTCATCGAGTAGGTCTACAAGTTTGGTGTCAAGTGAGAGATTGGGGTTAGATTTAGCTGCTGCTTCAGTACGAAGGAGGTATTTGCCTGTCCAGTTGTCGTGGACTGCTGCTTGGGCCAAGGCTTCCGCAATGATTGCTGGTTGCTGGAACTCGAGACCAAATCCTAGGTGGATTATGGGATGGAAGAAACCTGCACACTTTAATTACGATCCAAGGACGTGCATAAGATGTCAAGACATACCCCCGTACATCCTTCCCAGCAAATCATCAGCCTTTTCATTCCCAGCAAACAAATAATCGTCAAGTACTTTTTCGAAGCCTCTGCTTTCCATCTCATTTTGAAAGAAAACAAGAAAGTCATGATAGTACTTCTCATCTCCAAGGTATTTCTGAAAATGGTCGGGATTGCTCATGTCCTGCACCACGCGCTGCTCCAGCGGCACGGGGGGGCGTTGGTAGGACGCATTGTTTTTGTAGTGCTTCTCAATGACTTGGGCTGAGGCCCCGACACCGTAAAGACTGAGTAGATGATGGACAATATGATTGTGAAATCCTTCATGGTTGAAGAAGATATGGTGTTGCTAGCCTAGCTTTAGTTGTTTCTTCACGTATTGTACAGGAGCAGTCACCTCGTGATTCTCCTGGAGAAGCTCAGAAATTTTGGCGGCGGTCTCAGAGTCTTGAGTCTTGAACTTGAAATAACCAGTATTCTCAGGTGTCAGGTGGATCTTGCTTGGTGAAGCCATGTTGTATTTAGACATTAATAGTCCTCGCCACTCCTGGAAGCTGGAGCTTGTTGCTTGTGATGTTTTTGTAATGAGGTATTTAGCCAATGATCTTGTCGACGGTGGTACTCGAAAACTTCTGGCGAGCATCTATAGGCTTTAAATATCGTAAGCTGTCAGTCGAAGCTACATTGATGGCAACCCCACCAGACCCCGAATTGCAGTCTCTCATCGCGTTGCCTTTGGAGATGACGTAAATTATCACGTCCACGATGTGCAGGCATGGTCGATTTTCCATACCGTGTGCCAATAAGCTGCGGCTACCAGAATGTATCAAGTAATCCACATCTCTGTCTGACCCGACAGGATCGCTCCATGTCGCAGTGCTTATAAAAAGCGGTGGCCAGAGCTCGCTGTCCAGCCGTCAGCTTTGGTCCAGGCCAAGTGAAGTCGAGGGGATATGTAAGCAGCGCCAAACATACCCCACTTCACCCCCCTTTCACAATGCGGGGTACAGTCCAGTACTCTCCCCCCCCCCCCCCCCCCCCGGCTTGAATATTAAATGTGTAGAAAACTGGACCTCGTGTGGGTAGCTACTAGGGGTGTCTATCCAATAATTCAGTAGAGAATCAGCCTTAAGTAAGGCTCAGGTGTCTCTCGAACCTTCTAAAGGCACCCTTGCTATTATAACAGGCCTAATTCTGGCTCGTGCTTCTGGCTGTATTCAGGGCCTCTGACCATTCAGTACTTGAAATCTAGGCCTCCGACCCGCAAAAGTTCACATTTAACATTCAAGCCGGGGGGGGGGGGGGGGGGGGGGGGGGGGAAAGGAGTACGAGTGAGGACGTACAGTACCTATACAGTATTAAGCGATGCCACTGACATTCAGTCAAAGCTGTTCGGCTACATTTATCAGATTAATCAGATATCAGACGTACGGCACCTGCTTGTGTTCTGGACCTGCTATGTCACCAATTCTACCAGTATTAGGTACTCCAATTATCAGGATGAGAAGTGAGCAGTACATTTGTGAAGATGTTCCCAAACTTCCACAAGGTTTCTTGTCGCAGATGGCTGTTTGCCGAAGCAGTATGATGCAGGGAGATTTATTGGCAATGCCTACCTAGACATGGCGGGCTCGTGCTTAGTTTAGAATCAATCAAGAGATATCCCACGCTCCAGTTCCACATCCGCGCGGGATTAGAGAGGCCGACATCCTCAGGTCCAAGATGGAACAGTACCTTGAACTCTCATCTGAGTTGGGGCGGGGCGTCTAGATTTACCTTAAGGTAATCTGGGAGCTGGAACCTGCCTGCACCAGACGGGGGCAAGCTCAGACTGACGATGATTACTGTAATTGTGGCGCCAACACGTAAATTTACTCCAGCCACAGCCATTCAGCCACTACAACACTACTCGTACAACCAACCAACCTCGTATTGAACACATACTCGCTGCCAGACCCATTTGCTCGCACCCAATTCTACTTCAAAGTTTCTCAAACCAACCTTGCAAATCCAATCCAATCCAATAAGTCATCATGGAAGCCGTTAAGAACGTTCTGCATAAGATCGCTGGAGATGACAAGGAGGAGGCCGCCAGAGAACCCAGCCCTGCGGATCTTCAAGACCTGAAGGACAGATACACAAAGGCAAAGCAGGAACAGGTATTTGCTTTCTACGATGAGCTGAATGTACCGGAGAAGGCTGCACTATTCGAACAACTATCCTCCTTCGACCCAGCGAGAATAAACACCATCACAGACAGAGCCCTTAACCCTCCTGCACAGACAAAAGATGCCAACCAAGAATCGGGGCTCGAACCCCTCCCAGACTCTGCAACAGCCAGTATCCTCGATTCCAAGGCCGAAGACATCGAAAGGTGGTACCAATCAGGACTGGATTTGATTGCACAAAACAAAGTTGCTGTGGTGCTCATGGCAGGAGGACAAGGAACACGATTGGGAAGTTCAGATCCCAAGGGCTGCTTCAACATCGGTCTGCCGTCCGAAAAATCCCTTTTTCAGATCCAGGCAGAGCGAATTCGGAAAGTCCAGCGATTGGCACGTAAGAAAAGCGGGGAGGGAGAGGTGGTGGTGCCGTGGTATGTGATGACCAGTGGACCTACGAGGGGACCTACCGAGAAATACTTCCGGGAGCACAACTATTTTGGGTTGGACGAGAAGAATGTCATGTTTTTCGAGCAGGGAGTCTTACCTTGTATCTCGAATGATGGCAAGATTCTGTTGGAGAGTAAGGGAAGGGTGACGGTTGCTCCGGATGGCAATGGAGGTATCTACGAGGCATTGGTCAAATCTGATGTCAAGACTGATATGGAAAAGCGAGGTATTCAGCACATTCATGCTTACTGTGTGGATAACTGCCTGGTAAAGGTCGCGGATCCAGTATTTATTGGATTTGCCGCCTCGAAGGATGTCGATATCGCCACGAAGGTCGTCCGAAAACGCAACGCAACAGAGTCCGTTGGTCTCATTCTCCTGAAGAATGGCAAACCAGATGTCGTCGAGTACTCTGAGATAGATAAGGAGACTGCTGAAGCCAAAGATGCAAAGCAACCTGATGTTCTCAAGTTCAGAGCCGCCAACATTGTTAACCATTACTACTCATATCGCTTTCTCGATACTATTCCTGCTTGGGTACACAAGCTACCTCACCACGTTGCTCGCAAGAAGATCCCATATGTTGACACCAACAAGGGGACTACTATCAAGCCGGAGAAGCCCAACGGGATCAAGTTGGAGCAGTTCGTATTCGATTGCTTCCCGATGCTTGAGCTCAAGCAATTCGCTTGTATGGAAGTTAAGCGTGAGGATGAGTTCTCGCCTCTGAAGAACGCTAGAGGCACTGGTGAAGACGATCCAGACACCAGTAAGAAGGACATTATGGACCAAGGCAAGAGATGGGCACAGGCTGCTGGTGCCACTGTCGTCAGCGAACGCAGCGATGATGGAATTGAGATCTCGCCATTGATCAGCTACGTATGTACTCTTTGTATTTTGCCCCTGTTACCAAAACTAATCATTCCACAGGGTGGAGAAGGTTTAGAAAAGCTGAAAGATCAGACTGTCACGGCTCCTGCTGTGTTGGAGAAGGAGTTGAAGTGAGCGGTGACGAAGACTACGTTCCAAAAGTACTGTTTTGTTATAAATAGATGATATCAATGCCAGCATATTTTGGTCGAGGATATTCTCCGGACAACCTTGTCACAACTGTGGAGCCACTGGATGTTCTTCGTGCATTCACGAGGGATATTGGGGCATATCTAATGTTCTAGTCTGGAAACGGGCTATCCTTCCAACATCATACCGACCGTGGGTCACATAGATAGATGGTTATTGGGCTCGAAGTTTCTTCTTCGTCCTTCAACTAAGTTCCCTCAAGTAAATGAGCAATCCCCAGAAGGGCTGATATTCTCGATACAGTCTCTGTGGCAGCTTCCAGGTTGTCTTGTTTCTTAGGCCGTCTCGTGAAGGACAAACAGGGATGGCAGGGGCGTGGCTGAATTGGGGCAAGCCCGAACTTGCTTGTGGTCTACCTTGCCTAATATGAATTAGATGTGGCGCGTACTGGTCTTCTAGCCACAACCATGGAGCCACTCGAGGTCCGGATCGGATCAATCCAGATCAGATCAGCCAATGACCTTCCGTTACAGTTCAGTCACTACAGTCCAATGCAGCAAGGTCGGGCGCCTAAGGTAGGTACGTACCCACATGCTTACCTTAGGTAACCCCAGCAAGTATGACGACATGTGATTATGCCCTCCCTTAAGGTATGGATGTCTTGGTGATGGACGTGGACTCTGCTGTATACCAGCTTCTACTTTCTGCTCTCCAGCCTCTGCTGCCGCCATAATCTAAACATTCCCTTCCCTTCACGCGTCGGCGGGGAAGAATCAACCATGACTCTGCAGGACAAAGTCACTTTCATGAGCTCTGTGGCTCTACGAATTGGCGCCTATGTCTTTTTACGTTGGATACCAGGCCATGTACGTGTACTCCATCTCCCAGATCAAGAATTGGATTAAGTCGGAGCCTGACAACTCTGCAGCACCTTCCACCCATCATTTATACCGCATTAGCGATATACATACCCTCCTTCATTTCGAGTTTCTTGACCCAGCCAAAATACAATGTACTAGAAGACGATATCAAAGTCACAGTTACAGAGACAGAATTCGAGGAACAACCACCCACACTTGCTTCGACCGCTGCTCACTCCTCGAATCTGCCAACAAGAGACAAGCCTACGGAAATCGAAGAGGAAATTGAGATAGACGAAACGATTGTGTTGGAGACAAAACAGCCTAGTCCATGGCGGACGCTGTTGACTGGGCTCCCAGATCCGGTCTCTACACTTCTTTCGCTGGCTACATTTTTAATTAATGCTGCATTAGTGCTGGCTGTGACAGATTTGCTGTATCGAGCAAAGGTCTACCATCCGGAGACCGACCTATCTTTTGCACGAATGGGTTATGTTTCTCCTACCGAGGCCAATCTGTTGATCCGAGAACCAAACGCTTCACAGCTTCCGATCTTCGTCTCGTACCGACTTGCTAGGCAATCCACGCCATATGAAGATCCCGTATGGCAGACAGCAGGAATCATCCAAACCTTGAGCAACGAAACAGACTACACGGGAGTTGTTTCGTTTCCGCTTCCCAGCCAACCTCACAAGACTTACCAATGGACTACATCGAATAATCACACTGGATTCTTCACTGTTCCGCCAAGCCCGGGGAAATTATCCGAGCATGGAGATTTCACATTTTTGACGTCCAGCTGTATCAAGCCTCGATTTCCTTATAGCCCATTTGACCATGCACTAGCAATCCCGGGCTTCAAACATATGGAAAGGGTCATCACGTCCATCCCTGGAGGTGCTCAGTTCATGTTATTTCTCGGAGACTTCATATATATCGATGTGCCGAAGCGATTTGGTACATCTGTAGAAGACTACAGGAGAGAGTACCGACAAGTCTATGGCTCTCCTGATTGGCCAGCTGTGGGTCAAAATCTGAGTTGGATCCATGTTCTGGACGACCACGAAATCGCCAATGACTGGGATAGAAACACAACAGGCGTTTACAATGCAGCTGCCGATCCATGGCATCACTATCAAACAGCTGTTAACCCACCTCGAGCTCGTGCAGCGGGTGGTTACGGACTTCCCAGGAAAGCGGCAACATATTTCGAATTTTCTCAAGGGCCAGCTTCATTTTTCATGACGGACACACGAAAGTATCGTGACTCATCTAGTGGGCTTTCTGTCAATAGCACCAAGAAATCGATGCTGGGCGCCGAACAATTAGATGATCTCCTCACTTTCCTCAGGAAAGCTGAGCCCAAGGGTGTGAAATGGAAAATCATCGCATCCAGCATTCCATTCACCAAGAACTGGAAAGTCAACAGCCTCGATACATGGGCTGGATACCTCAGTGAGCGACAGACTATTCTGGAAGCAATGTGGGATGTAGGACTTCGGGGTGGTGTCGGAGTCGTGGTTCTTTCAGGCGACAGGCACGAATTCGCAGCAACAGCGTTCCCGCCCCCGTCTGATGGAAAGTGGCCGATTAGTTCTACGGTTCACGAATTCTCGACAAGCCCGTTGAGTCAATTCTACTTGCCAGTACGGACGTATAAGGAAACTGACAGTGAGGACGTGATGATGAAGTAAGCCCCTTGTCGCCAATGTAGCTGAGCCAAGCAGCATATTGACAGCATGCAGATACATTCCCGACGGTAACTCTAAGCTCGGATCCGTCACAATTGAGAACACGAGCAGCGATCAAAGCATCCTGAAGTTTAGACTATTCGTTGACGGTGTCGAAACTTGGTCTTCTGTCCTCCTCTCGCCACCGCCCATCGCAGGAAATCGTTGGGCGAAAGACGCACTTTGGGGGTAGAAATTTGGCTATGGAAAAGATTTCGGATGGATAGGGGCGTTGGATTTCGGGACTGACCTAGGTGTGATCGGCGGAGCTGAATACCAGGTATATGCAAAGATCATTTGCAGCACTTTTTGTGCCTCAAGTTGCAATCATTGACGTTATATATCAGTCTTTTCTTTATGTCCTGATTCATATTTTGCTTTAATTTGCTCATCTATGTCAAAGGCTAGTCTGACTGAGGGTTCACGTTCAGCTTAATTCACCGCTCTCCTTGTTGTCGTGAAGTTACTGGCCTTCTGATTTGACAAGTGCTCCTTGAAGCTGTCGGTGTCTTTATCACTCCTTAGAAATTCGCCTTCACAATGATCAGTCATTACCCCTTAAATGAGTGACCATCGTCGTAGTATTGGAGCTCGTTAGTCAACGAAAGCACACATCTCCTGTATGGAAATTGCAGACACGTCTCTGCTTGCAGAAGCTTGCTTAGACGCTTTTTGGGTGACTAGTATATTATTGGCTTACTTTTCCACTCAAAGAAGCATTGCAACAAAGATCGTAGTCCTACAAGTCCATTTCAGGTTGCTGACAAGCATACCTACCGCTCGAGCTGGCATTACTCGTGTCTTCTATATACTCTGCCTTTTCACAACATTTGAGAGGGTTTGGACTGCTTGTAATGGTCGACTTATCAAGTCCTAATCACTGGGGATTCAATTTCTAGCTCTCCATTTCCGCTGTTGAGTAGGTTGGTATGCTAGCGCAGGTCTGGTCAGGAAACGACACTTGCGAATATATCTCGCAGCCGACTATTTTCACATGATACATACACCACGCACAGCAGTTACGCCTCGAGGACCGCCACTACCACGATATCTGTGACTTGAAGCCACTGTATTCTATCTGAGTGCATCTATCAGCCTATTGAACGCCTACACGGGCTTCTCTAAATGATTTTCCCTTTCACCTGGGGGATTGGCAAAAGTGAAAAGGAAGAAATTGAATTTGGTGCCTGACGGTCGGGATATTGGAAATAGCTAAAGCCTACGAGGTAACAGTCCATTCACATTTGAGCGAAAAATCCCAACAAAAGATCCATCAAAACCTGCTGACTTGACTCTCCTCCAGGACTCATCTCCCATCATCAACTCTCACAAACTCGACTGCCCTCCGCCAATTACATCTCTTTTTTGGATATCAATACCGCCAGTCAACTTTCTCGGTTCATTCTGTCTAATACCTACAAGGATCTGACGCAATGCCTGTTGACTTACCCACCTCTTAATCACCTTGCTTAACTTGCCCTCTTGAAATCACAACTTCAAGTAGAACACGTACAGACCTCCTCAGACTTTTCAACACCCCCTTACAGTCGCACAATCTGAACCATTACTTTGGATAGCAACAGGTTTGGTATTGTCCTTCCTCAAAATACCATCTAAACAACAAGAGGAAATATCAACATGGGCAAGAAACACAAGAGAGGGTCCCAGAGCTCTCATGCGGGTCTTCAGCGAGATGCTTCGAACACATCTTCAAACAATCTGTCGCCAAAGACTCCAGCTACCCGTCACAGCGCCGGTTCAGGATCATTCCTCTCCGATCCAGGCTTTGGTGAGCCCAGTCCAGAAAAAGAGCTGAGGAAGGACATCAACAATCTCCGCATCACCGAAACCTCAGGGGGTGTTCAGCTTCCCGGACTTCCATTCAAGACTTTCAAAAACGAAACCTTGATCACCCCCAACGGCGAACCAACTGTTCTTCCTGCCACGTCTCCTACTGAAGCTGCTTCAGCGATCTCCAGACTGTCTGCTGCATCTCTATCGTTCGTGCCTGTCACACCCTCTCCAAAGCCAATTACCAAGCCCATTTACCACGCAGAACCCGCAGGCCTCCCAACTCCGCCAACTCCTGGCTATGAGAAAATTCAGAATCTGTTGCAGGATATTCGCGGCTCCCCAAGTCATGGATATGGTGGCCATGCTGCAAGATGTCACGGAGGATATTTTCCAGGCAACAATGGCGGATATAGTGGTCATTCTAGAAGTCAAGGTGGACATGCCCAGCAGAGCCATTGCCACGCCCAATTGGCTGGTAACAATGGTCGTTACCCAACACCTCCAGGGCATATTGGCGGTTTGAGTAGAACACATACTCCAAGCCCAGGTCCATCGCCTGTTCATTCGTACGATTCTGTGCCGCGTGGGCCACGCAATCCAGTTATGCTCGCCGCTCAGCCTGCACGCCATGTTCAAACTCTCGGCCGACGGCCACTGGGGGAATTTCTTGCTCGCAAGGACCGAGGCAAGAAGGATATTCTCGTTACAGCTGATGGCATAACTCGCAACCACGTTCGCATAACCGAGCGCCAGCTCCCCAACGGCATCCCATACCAATCATTCCACGATGACTTTGACTCATCAAAGTACAATTTCGTCGAGGAGTTCAGGGCAATGACGGCGGACGAGAAGGAAGGCTTCCTCACAACGAATTCCATTGATATTCTTGTTCAGATGAAAGCTCCAGAGGAGCGAACTGGGTTAGCTACCACCGAGCCTGGTGCTAAAATTGAGGAGTTGAAGGGAAAGAAGGGGAAGAGCAAGAACAGGAACAGGTCTACGATTACAGATGTGGAGGATTCAAACGAAAGCATGGAGTTTAAGGTCCTAAATGTTGCAAACGAGGCCTCGGATGTTCCTGGGAAGCCATTTGCAAGCGTTGCATCTAAAAGTGAAGGTAAGCCGTTGAGGATTCTCTCTATGCATACTCGTAGACTCATCAGTCACTATAGTCTCTTCGCTCGATGTTCTCAAAACGCTCGGTCCTGAGGTTTCCTTCTATGCTAAGCGCTTGACCGTGACACTTGCCTTTCCTCCATCCAAGAATCCCGCCAATCTGGCTCCAATGCTTGGCGCAGGACCTGTCGCTCAATTCACCATTACACCACCCGCTGGCCCAGCCCAGAACTCCTCCAACTTCATCTTGCTGAAGACGCTGGTCGACTATATCCACACCTTTAAGAGCCTTCACAACCTCAGTATCATCCTCCGTGTTCCCGCCACCCAACGCATGCCCTTCACTATGCGGCAACTGTACCACGTCCTCCCATTCTACGATCTCGGCTTTACAGACTGGGATATCAAATACCTACCCGACAATTTGAGCGTTCCTGCCAAGGTGCAAGGGTGGGCAGTTGGTCAGTTGGACCGTGAGCGGAACAAGATTATTGCAGAGCGCTTACGGAAGGTTGAAGAAGCTGTTTTCGTTCGAGGTAGTGTCATGCCGGGTATCAGCAATGAGAACCTGAACGCTGCTGCGGCATGTTTTAATAACACTGTGGCTTCGATTTCTACATCCTCTGGTGCTCGACGTTCTCGAGGTTCTCGCTCTTCTCGTGCTTCTCAATAGTATGAGGCGAATGACGGCTGTTCGTCCATGGCCTCCAGTTTGGAGGAATGTCTCCGCCTGCATTCGGGGCCATTGGTCGGCATTGCGTGCACCGCTTAGTCTGAGCTTGCCATCTCTCTTTCAGTCTTGCATGCATTTCCACGATGTGGCTGATGGACGAACTCTCCGTACTACATTATTCCAAATAGTTCCTACTCCTTAATCGATTCTTTCCACAGTAGAGCAGAAGGATGCGTCCATAGCACAGCGTTGAGTTTCATTTCTTGGAATTCGCTCTCAATCAAAACCTTTCTGATCGATTCGCCCTTTCAACATCGGCGATGAGCACATGAATGCTGGTGGAAGTGGATTACGTCTTTGTCCCTTCCTTATGTTGGTAGGAAAGCCATTGAAGAGCGGTGATCAGTGGCAATCAAGGGTCAATAGAGGGGAAGGGCGGAATGATACGCGATGGTTAAGATGGATAGGTAGTAAAAATTAAAAACATCACTTTTCGTATTCACTCTTGACTTTTAGATCATTCATGGGGGTTTTGATACCAGCAACGATAAGTGTATGAGAAGTCGGCTAAGTTGGTCATGCTTGGGTAATCCCTTCACAAGTCGACTCTGGTGAAACGACCCATATACAATCGAGTCGATTCTGGCGTGTTATTAATATGGGTCGCAATTGAATACAGCGGTATACCTGAAATGAGTTCCGAGAACGCCCCCCCACCCCCCCTCATGTCTATTTGCATCAATTAGCTGTCTTCGTTTCAGTTGCCCATGGTATCCGCATGTAGTATGTGAGAGAAGCATCATCAATCGAAACAATTTGCGGCCATTTCTAATATGAAGCCAACTCCTTGAAAGCTTCAATGCTCCCAGGAAGTAACCTTTGGAGAGATCTGGGAATTGCTAGACATCTGAACGGGGATACTTGGACTGATGAACTCGATAGAGGAATGGGCCGTTGAACGACGTCATTTTGGAACGGTTCAACAAATTAACATTTTTGTTGGTCCATAGGATCCTGCAATATAGTTTCTTTAGAAGTGGTCCTGGAGGACTACCTCATGATTTTGCTACTTGGGGACACAAAGTCGAAATTGATTCGGAAAGATTTCTGAGTACCTATTATATAGTCAGGTATCCTCACACTTCTTGGAAAGAATACATGTTTATTTATCCAAGGTTGTGTTATAAGTATACAAAGTTGTTACTAAGTAATTAACATGTGACTTAACTACAATCTTACAAAGTTACCATCTCAATTATATTTCATAGGAATAGAGTGTAACAAATCTTAAAATAGAGACTTAATATTGCTTTGAGGTTTATAAGCATAGTGATAATAAACTGGGACATATACAGGATTTACCAGTTGAATGTATTGGGCATCCAGAGGCAGAGGAGGAGATTGCGCACTTTGCCGCCTCAATTGTTAGATGAACTGAGAGATGGATGTACTCAGAGCTTTTGAAAGGCAGAAGCTCTTTAGTTGTTAAACTAAGAAGTCATGTAATATTCATAGATCTTTGTCTCAAAGTAGAAAACTGTGTGCTTTCATGTTACCTTCGATTCATTCCTTCGATTGATCTGCATTTCCGCAGCTTCCAAGCAGCTCAACTTCGCCTGTCAGATGCTCATCAACGGAGAGACATGCGACTAGTAGAGAGACAGACGTTTAAAAGATAGGTACTTGAGTATTTGGCCAAGTTTTACTCTGGAGATTAGCTTAGTGTCCACGCGTCCTTTGGAAACGCCCATCTCTAATACCACAAAGCTGTATCTTCGCCAAACAAGAACCATGTTTTGAAGCCCTTCATCACTCGCAAGCTTGCAATGCACCATCATGGGGATTATTAGCAGCCGCCGTTGCTTACTTCCACCAGTCTTCCTTCTCAACGCTTCTAGATAATTAGCAAGTTGGTCGTCCGTCTATGACTCCCCATCCTTCATGTTCCGGTAATCAGCCCCTCATTCCGTCTGATAGACTTGGCGAGTGTAAACAAGAGTTTGAGGCCCCATACTTGGAAATTGTACCTCCTTATGAGTAATTAACGTAAATTACGTACTCCAGCACGCGTGATGAGAATTATCTCTTGGCAACGCTGGCCCATTTCATTGTAAATAATCGACATTTCTCATTCACTGAGATTTAAATTGGTCTCTCCTTCCGCATGTGTGCACCCAAGGTCTTCGCCCAAGTCACACATCCGTCATACCTGGGAGGCTCTCACATGACTCCTTTTAGTTCGGTAGAACAGATTCTCTCACCAACTTAGGCGTGTGACTGCAGCTGAACGAGTTCATTAATCTTCTCCTCATGGTACTGGTGAAGATTGTTTGCAGGCACAGCTCTCAAGCAAGGGAGTACAAAGAGGCGGGCTCTTACGAGTACAGGGATCAATTTGCAATTTTCTTGCAGTGCTTTGCAAGGACTCATCTTGGCGGGTGATGAACCCTCCAAAACCCTTACTCAGGTTGAAATAAAGTTTCGTCTGAAGACAAGGCTTAACTGGACGGAGTCCGGCACTGTCAGAATCCATCAATAATTTAACAGCTGACACGGATGCTTGGAGGGCTTGGCCAGCGCGAACGGACATCTTGGTCCGGTATTTACCATGTATTAACCTTGACAACGATCCAAGACTTCGCTTTTGAGCAACAAAGTTAAAGTTAGAGTTAGGGGTGAGATTCTGCTGAACCTTACTGGTCAGAATTGAACTTTAGACGAATTGAGCTTGTTGATAACGATGTTTCTCCAACTTGGCATCGGTGTCCGACTTGATGACTTCCGTCTATTTATGCTGCCGAGTCATCTCGCTTCACGGGATTTGTTGATGTTCGGATATGCCGAGCCAGGAAGTGGATTTTCTCCATAAAATAATGACCAGCATAAGAGAGCGAAATGTAACTTAGCATTTTGACTCAACACTATTCTCGCTGTCAGCGTACCATCTAGGAGATACCCTAGGCAACATCTGTCGCGTTATTTCGCCAAGAGTCCCAAGACAGGTGAACCTGCTCAGGCCCCCCCTCGATACTACCCGAGCAAGTGAAATAAACAGATTCTGTTGTTCACGCAGACGAGTTCCAACTTCCAAGACTTGAAACTGCTCCACCTTCCATGTCTCCGAGGGGCCATGAGACGGTACTGTGCACATAAGTAGCTTTGAATATCTCACAAACGCTGCATGATGTTGACGCAGCCTGATACATCTCTTCACTGCCTTAATCACACCCTACACATTCTTTACCGTTTTGGCAATCCTTTACGATCATGCTCCGTACCCTTGCTGTACTTGCGGCTGTGACTTCAGTTCTCGCATGCCCCCAACACGATTATAATACTCGTGCTACAGATGGTCTCGCGAAACGTGCAGATGGTCCCAGTGGCTGGACATACGCAGCCTCGAATACTTGGGGAGTTGCCAGTGACAGTAATCCTTCCTCGAAATGTGTAAATTACTGTCCCCTAACGTATCCAGATGATACTATCTGCCTTACCGGCACCACTCAATCCCCCATCAACCTGCCCTCGGGCTCTTTCTCGAAAACCCATATCCCATCATTCGCTTACTCGGCTCCTGCCTCTGGGACATTATTTAACTGGGGATTTGGTCCAAGCTTCTCATTGAACAAAAGCAATGGGGTTGACTTTTCTGCCAACCCATCTTTCAAATTCGACGAGGAGACCGTCTATCTGCTCTCTTGGGTACTGCTTGATTCTATTCTGCACAATTGAACTCCTTACTGACTGCTCTAGCATACACACATCCCGTCCGAACATCTCATAAACAATGTCCGAACTCGTGCTGAGATTCATCTTGTCCACGGTGATGCTTCTGGTATACCAAGAGGCGTAATTGGACTCAGAATCAATCCCTCCTCCAAATCATCTCCCTTCTTCGCACAATTTGTCTCTCAGGTACCGCATCACGGCTCTAGCAATCGCACACAAGTTGACCAACTCGACATGTCACTCGCTTTGAAAGAGGTTGGAAGCCTGAAGAACTTCTGGACGTATAAGGGTAGCTTGACGACCCCGCCTTGCAGTGAAGGTTTGAGATGGTGGGTCGCTGGCAAGGTATTGGAGATTAGTGACTCCCAAATGAAGGCTTTATTAGGAGTCAGTGCATATAGCGCCAGGGTAGAGCAGATGGTATGGAGTCATGCCATTGGTATCTAAGGAATTGGTAGAGTAGTGTGATATCCTAGATGATAGGGGAACTGAGATGGACTGAGAAGGTCTGCGGGATAATTACTTTCTATTTGTAAAAGTTTCTTCTGAAACTTATAACAGTACTCAACGTTCGCTATACTACTCCCTTTATTCTTAGGTCTGACAATAGGTCCGCTAAGTAACAGGGTAAAAGCTCTGTGCAGTCTTTAGATCACGATCAAAAGAATATAAACAGGGTAAACAAGCTTTAAAGCACTATATTTACAATCTTAAAGTATCGTTATGCAAGAGATCACAGACGTTAAGACCTGAATATTCAGGTAGAGTATATCTTATAGGGCCTGCCGAGTACTCTGAAAAGCGCACGAGTCCAATTACCGCAGATTCGGACTTCAAAATCCATTTGCCGAACAGGAAATCCTGTCTATTCTACTAGTCAGAACCCCCTAGCGAAGATCTGTCTTAGAGACTCCATTGTCAGACCCAAGAATAAAGGGAGTATTCTCATGTTTTGCATAAGTCCCTGCCTTCCTGTACAGTGTATCTCATATATAACATTAGATACGAAGAATCGTTTCATTCTAGAGAGGGCTTCAAACTCGAGATCTAAAGCCTAATGAGGTATTAAGCTGAGAATATAACGACCTTTGAGTGCCTTTGACGTGGACCGAAGCACATCGATCGTTGTCGCTTTGACTAGAAGCAAGCAACAATCTACTGAAAAGTGAGAACTAGGGGACGCTCCACATACCGGAAATCAGATTACGCATTCTCAAATGTATCCTGTGTCAAGAAGTTTCAAAATGGGAGTGCGTTCGACGGATGATGTAGATTCAAATGATACTAAGCCGTAATCTGTAGCAATTGACCGTGATGTAGGGCCCTTTCCTGAAACGAGCGTAATTGGTTTCGTCTCTACGATATCCAGAGTCTGTCTTTTACAAAAGCAAAGTTTTAATGGCTGTATGAGTTTCCTATACTCTCAAAGGAAGCCACTTCAAGAATCCCACAATGCCTTGAACCTGCCGCCTTCATCAGTCAGTAACACACCCGGCTCCCCATACTCCACAATCTTCCCATTCTCAAATACCACAATCTTGTCATAATGCCTGATATTCTGTAGCCTATGGGCTACGGCGATTATAGTACAGTCCTTGAAATGCTCACATATAAGGTTCTGGATGAGTTGATCAGTCCGCAAATCAACGCTCGCTGTCGCTTCATCAATGACGAGAACTTTAGAAGATCGCAGCATAGCTCTAGCCAGGCAAAAGAGCTGGCGCTCGCCATGGGGCAGTAGGTATTCTGGCTGCATAATGACATTCAGGCTAACAGCTTCCATGATGACAGTCCACAGCCCAACTTTCTGTAATATATTTTCAACGTCCAGATCGCTTGCCATATCCAGGGGATCAAGATTCTGTCTGATGGTCCCTTTGAGGAAGATCGGCTCTTATGGCATGACGGATAAATGTTCTCGGAGTGTATGTCGTGGAATTTGTGAGATTTCCACCTCGTCGATTGTGATTGTGCCGTTCTGAATGTTTAACATGTGGAAGAGCAATGCGACAAAAGAGGACTTGCCAGAACCAGACGGGCCGCAGACGCCAAGTTTCTGGCCTGCAGTGATGGAGATGCTGACTTGTTGAAGCGCTGGTTTGAGATCTTCAGAATAAGTGGCGGAAACATTAGAGATTTGGATCCTGCCCTTTGACGGCCAGTCTGGACAGACATGCTGGTTTTCTCCAGGGAGGTTCTCCGAGCTCGTGCTTTTGACAAATGACTAGAATACAATTTCAGATCTACTTTTTGTTTCTGGACAGCGTAAAGCAACCAGGCTAGGACTGAAGGAGTGGATGCGATGCAAGACAATGAGCATAACGAAAAGCCGGGCATACTTGAATCCGAGAAACCGCTCCGACTGATGTTTCAATCATGGTCCAATGTTGAACAACAACAGTAAGGATCATACTGAAAGACATAATATTGATCAAGGCAACTCCAACCAATCCAGTGTCTATACTGTGTCGAGATTTGACGATTAATGCAACCAGAAGAACGGCAAGTACAGCCACCATTAGGTCGACGACAAGCGATAACCATCTCTGAATACAGTAGAGTAGATAGAAAGGTCTTTGAGAGGCATCTAATAAAAGCATATGCCGTCCCTCCATATCTCTTCCCCATCCAAAAGCTCTGATAGTAACTAGCCCGCTAAGCGTTTCCAGGAAGTTGCTGTAGAGAGGCGCTTTTGCCTCCAAATCCATCAAACGCAATTGCCGAGACGTGCGCAAGTAGAACTTCTGTATGAAATAGACAACACTCATGACAAAAGGTAGAGCAGCGGCAAAGTATGACGTGGAAATGGAAATGAGTATCGCTTGTAAAGTAGCGGTGACGAGATTGTTTGTTAGGATTAAGGCTGCCAGCGGGAGCTCGGAGTCTATGACTGACAAGTCCTGACTGAATCTAGACATAGAATTCTTTTACACAACTGGAGGCCTTATTAAGGAAGAAACTGTACCTGTTGACAATATGACCAACATCAGTGGCGGTGAAAAATGACAGAGGTGCATTCTTAATGGTTTCGAGAAGCTGCTCGTGTAAGAATACTGCTGAGTTGGGGATCATAACGATGAAAAGAAGCATAGCCTGATGGACGTAGTCAATTAGCCATGGATCCGCCAAAAGCTTGTTTTGGCAAGGAAAGATAAACACCCACCAAAGCAATGATTGTTGACATGGCGAGAAGCTCCACGCCCAGAAGTATGCCCAGATAGAGACCATTCACTGAATTACCATGTGCACCGACAGCACTTGTCCAGAATTTGATCCACACATATTTTTTTATTAGCTCGAGATGCTTGTACCAGACAGAGATCTACTTGCCTGGAAATCGATCAAAAGTAGCATTGCAAACAGTCATTACAGCGAGGATCCAAATGTTTCTCATCCCAGCACTGAGGAAGTAATACTTATAAACAGCCCAGTTACCCACAGGACGATTGAGATCAGCTGCGGCATTTTGTCGTGCCGTGTCATCGGCTACTGGTTTAGAAGGAGCAGTTACCTTTGCGTCTTCTTTCTCGGATTCTGTGACATGACGAGCCGTAAGACTGGCCACATATCCACCATTGCCCATTAACTGGAGAAATGTTCCTTGTTCGGAAATGGATCCGTCGCTGCTGAGTGAGACTATGTGGTTGGCATATGATAGACGATGAGCTGCATGAGTAACTAGAATGACTGTTGTATCGAGCTGTCGAAGGAGTCCTGTTGTACCAAGCAGGCGGGAGAAAATGCGATCTTCACTTGCAGCATCCAAGCCGGAGAATACATCGTCCAATATTAGGATCTGCCTTCGAGCATAAACAGCTCGACATAATGCCTAGGTACGTGGTAAGCAAGATTCCTGAGGAGCTTTAAATGAACCTTACCACACGTAGTCTCTGACCTCCGGCTATGAGTTGAGTCAGTAAACATTGAATGAACGTTACTTTCTGAGAGGTTGGATATCTTACAAAGAGCAGCACCCGCTGAGCCAACAATGGTACCATCGCCCTCAGAGAACATATTCATATCTGAATCGAACGCACAGGCACTCAAAACCTTCGAGTACCATGCTGCGTCGAATCCATTGACCCCAATAATGTTGTTTCGAACGGGATCATTTTGTAACCATGGATTCTGGCCAACAAAAGAAGCATGTGCTTGCTTAATATAGACATTTCCTTTTGAAGATGGTATTTCCCCAAGCAGACCATGTAAAAGGCTGGATTTCCCAGCGCCGACTGGACCGACGATCATAGTCAATTGTCCGGGCTGAATGTTAAAAGTCACGTCGTTGATGACAGGATTACCTCCGGCAGTATCAGACCAAGCAAGCGTCAAGTTTTTAGCACTGATCGCGGCCGATGACGGTGACGAAGTCGCAGCTTTCACCGGCGTGATACTATCCAACTCGATCACATCCAGCCCAATGCCAGCGTTGATAGTGAGGTTTCCAGTGGTCGGTCCATGCGTCACTGTGCTGCTGGTGCGAGCTTGCGAGTCTGGGAGCATCGATCGATGATCCTTCCTGGTTGTCGACGACAGAAACCTTTCGATCCGATCAAAACAACTGACAGTTGCAATCAATGGTGGAGCAGAGAACACGAGAGCTCGAATCGGCGCAACCAGCAATGCGATGAGAGACAAAGCTGTGAAAACCGAGATCACGTCAAGTGTTTGCCCATTGACGGTAGCCACAATGACATATATCGCAAAAACAGCTCTAGGGGCCAGAATATCAGACATATTACCAAAGGCATTCATGACTACCATCAGTTTCCTCATTTTGAGTGACTTGGACACTTCATCAAGTCTCAGCTGCGTCATGATGCTGGACATTTTAGAGCCGAGACCAAGCATTTTTATACCCTTCATGGAGCTTAGCATTTTGGCCGTGCTATCAACCCTGGTTTGAATTTTCTCAATCCAGGTCTTCCGAGCGTTGCCCATGCGGCCAAAAATCAGAAGTGGACCAGAGATTGCCAGACCGGTAACGACCAGAGGTCCCAGAAGAGAAATACCAATTTCTCGTGAAAGCAGACAGACTGCCAATGCAATCTCAATAGGACTGGACCACATATAGTGTATGGAGACGAGCGATTCGCATATTCTTTCCACGTCCGAACTCATCAACGTCACAGCCGCAGATTCGTCAAGACTGGTGATTGAAAGGTCTAGTGTCTGTGCATATATAGCATGAACGAGAGAGCCGCGGACCATCGTAGCCATACGATTTGCCTTGTGCTGGTACGCGCCACTAGTCAAAGCCAGCCCAAGATACACCAGACCGACGGCAGCTGTGAGACCCCATCCACGGTTGTCTGCTGACTCCGAATCAGGCTCTCCTACAAGTTCGATGATACTGCGGATGAGGAGGCGCTGCATGAATCTAAAGAAGGTAAGTGAAATGCGAGGTATGACTGAAGCTGCCAGTGGTTTCAACATGGTGCGAAACATGATCCAGACCAAAGTGTGCTTTCGTGGGTATCTGCTCCCTGTGCTCAGATCAGAATCTAGAATTTGTGTGTCTTTAGCAGAGGAATATTTACTGTTTGCCCAATTTCGACTGACTGAATGCTGACCCAAGAGACTTCGAAAGAAGATCCTGGTCAGCAGAAAACAAATCACTGTCATTTACAACTTTGCAGAATCCGAGCCGAAATAGAGGATTTAGCCACCAGAAGAAACCCCGCGAGTACAGGCCACTGGTAGCTTCTGGGGAAGGGGTAGCAAGCAGAGGGAAAAGAAGCCCTCTCTTCTCGATGCTCTCGGAGACTAGAAGCGAAAGCTTGACCGCTAGGATCACAGATGCAATGCCATTCCTGGCCAGGTTGTCTCCACGGAGCCATCTGGTGCGGACTTGTGCAGCATCGAGAGGTAGTGTTAGGAGGAGATATGCGTTGATAATGGAACCAGGCCGAATGTTCTTGGTATGTTCAATGTTGGAAAGGATACACAAGCCGAGTGACACGAAGAGCGAAAGGAGAGCAGCTGCAAGTGATGCATGGGTCCGATGCGAAGATTGAGAGACCTCGATGACATTGACGACTTGCAGGATAGTGAATACCGCGAGTAATATCTACTTGTGATTTGTTTGTTCTCGCACCATGGCCAACACGGGGGTCACTAACGATTTTGGTTGTCTGGAGATGGGTGCCTGTGACTTTGCGGGGGGACTTCCACAGACTGACAATTCTCGGTGGAACCAGAAGTAGTAGTAAGGCCGAAGGAACAATTGATAGAATAGTCTCTTCGAATAGGAGCGTAAAGTCGAAGTTCTCTCTATCAGGTATGTGTAAGAATGGGCCGAAGTGGTTATCGAATGCAGTGGAGTTGGACGCTCTTGGCAGGAGTGTCGAGTTGCCCCTGTTTGTATTCATGATGTTTCTCATTAAAGCTGCGAGATTTCGCAACAGCGCTGTCTACGTCTGGAGATCAAAGGCAGGTTTAAAGCCTACGTATATATACTGTAGACTCAAGGGAGCCTGTGGCTGCCAAGATGAGACGCTGGGGGCGCTATTATTCGTACATTTTGTGGTCGCGGAGCCCAAGCCGTCCTCGGATGTCAAATCCATCAACCGCAAGCCGCAGCTTCAAGACTATCAGCCAATTTGGTAAGGCTAGAATATAATCAACATCTGGGCAGAAACCAGACGCTTCCCTTGACCATGGAGCTTGGTCTCCTTTTGCAACAAATGAGTTACGCGTCAATCATGAGGCATTCCTACGTGACCAGGCAACCACTTTACACCTGGATTTCCTATTGTGGACAAACTCTCAACAGAGTTCCACTCTGATTATACGTTGTATGAACTGAACGCTAGCCTCCTATGTTACATACGTCAGTCAGCATACAAAGCTCCTAACCATCGTCTTCCTCGACTCTCGCTCGCTTGGCTGCCCGGTCCTCTTCTTCCTGCAGTCCATACTGTCGCTTCCCAGAGGTCTCTCCAACCTTGCTTAAGAAGTCATCAACGTTGAAAACGTCTCCTGTGTCCTTTTCGAACTGCACCGGCCCTTCTCTCGCCTGCGTCACATAATTAGCACTAGTTTTTAAAGCGATCGCTGCAGTAAGGGCTCACCTCAATATCCGCAGACCCCTTGAAGGTCCCCTTGCCAAGAGCCTCGCCGAACCGATTGCTTCGTTGGATCTTGCCCATCTCTGCCTCTGCAGCATCGTCATCGTCATCCTCCATATTCTGGCGGGGTCGGTAGATACTGCTTATTGCATCTTGAGCGGCGAACAATGGCTTGTCGTATGCCTGATCCTCATTGAACCCAGTATCGAATCCACTTGTTCTATTGAACAACCGAGAATCGAACATTCCTTCCGAAGACTGTGTAGGTTTCGCTAAGCCCAAGGCAACCTTTTCTGAAATATCTCGATTCTGCTCTCGAGCCATCATTTGCACCCTCCTCTCAGCACCCATCCTGGATTGTCTCAATTTTCGCTCTTCTTCTCTCCGCTTTTCAGCACGTGCTTTCTCCCGCTCCCTAACCTCCTCGTCATCACTTCCAGAAAGGGAGGATCCTGAGTCGCTATAACTTCCAGATCGCGATCTCGAAGTTCTGGAGTTTCGTCTCGCTGCACCAACTCCCGCTCGCTCGTCTCGCGCTTTTTGTGCTAACATTCTCAGATGCTCCTCTTTCTGGGCTTTCTCCTTCTCAGCTAAACGTTGTTGCATAAGCGCTCTCTGTTTGACCTCCTCTCTGGCATGTCTGTCGGCAGTAAAAAGCGCCTCCGCGAATTGAGCGAACTTGTCGTTGATTGTCACATCTTGGAGCCCTCTCCCATCCGCAGCTAACCTCTTGTCCAGCGGAACCGTATAACCCTTTGGATTCTTCCAATTTGAAACTGGGGGTGGAATTTTCCAGGCCTCCTGATCTTCTGCTGTAAGCTTTCGAGGTGGTGAATGCATAACCGGTGGAGGGGGACTAGGTGGACCCCTTGGAATCTTTTTGTGCTTGAACTTTGGTGGCTCCATGGGATCCTGCTGTCTCTCCACAATCTTCATGATACGATCGTTCTTTCGTGTGTTATCTCCCATCTGATTCGCTGGCGTATACCGTACGAAAGTTGGATCCTTTCTTGATCCAACATTGACATTCTTTGGCTTCTGCGCCGCCACAGCTCCCGAGACCAGCTTCGCAAGCGCATCCTTCGTTCTCTGTGTCGATTCAGCAACTTCTTCTTCACTTGGCCGGTCCAGGTTGATATCCCCAGCATCAGCACGCTGTCGAAGTGGGATCAAATCCTTGAATGACGCATGAACTATCCGCTTGTCATTGTGCCCTTGGCGCGCAATAGCATCGTATTTGACCTTTCCCTCCGCATCAACTTGTAGAGCCAGCGCATTGCTGGTAGACCCAGATTTCCTGCCCATATCCAGAGGGTATTGCGCAACTGGGATTTCTGGGAAGGCTCCTCCATCCCCAAAGTCTTCTTGCCCCCGGGGTCTCCATCCTGCCCGCTTTCCATACGGTGGAGGGCCAGATCTCTGCCAGCCATTGTTAGAATAGTCCTTCGCCTGCCTTATTCCACAATTACTGACCTTCAGCACGATTTGAGTGTCATCGAGGGTGCCAGGTCCGACAATTCGAGTACCTCGTTGTTGCGCGTGCTGTGGAATGTCCTCCTCCTCGCCAGTATATTTCGGTGTAGGCAATGCCCGCAAGAGGGAAGTGGCCATCGAAGTCATGATGAAGGTTGAGGTGTTGTAGAAGGGATTGTTTGGATATTTCGGAGAAGCCTCGTCGAGGTTCGAAAATCACGGGTAACTGCAAGGCGCCAAGCCGCTAGACGTCTGCGACTAGCGCCATATTCCAGAAATACATATTCACAATCAAGGTACTAGGCCAGAGGGGGCAAAGAGACAGTGGTCTCACGAGGTTTTTTGGGAGATGCCGGTTGACAAGAAGCGGATAACTAGATTCGGTGGCTCATGTAAGAATCTCATAATTGGTAGGACAGAAAGCAATATCAATTTGTATGCCACGACAGCATGGCCACCCCTATCACCTTAGGCACTCAATATAAAATTACAAACCCAGACTTTCCCGCGCCGTTTACCCAGTCGCTCCAGTATGCATGCCTTTTCCAAGCCCCAGTAGTTTACACATACCCCTTTCTCGCTCCCTGCCAAAATCATTAGTATGATGCCTTCGATACTAGAGCCCAGCCTGCGGGCCAACATACCTGGAAGAAGAAGCGGACAATGAACACCTGCAAGCCAGCCATGCAAACCATCATCAGACTTTCAATAACGCTGAAGTTAAATATTCTTCTCTCAGTACTTCTGACTGTGCTGAAGTTGCGATTTTCTCTGGTACGGAAGTACTTCTGGTTCCTTGTGATCGTTGAGAGTTGACCTGAAAGCTTGAAAATGGACTCCTCGAGCGCGGATGTCTGTTCGGGCGATGTGCCCTGCTTCGCAGGTAATGAGGCGCGTTGTTCGTTCTCGACCTGATTTATCACCGAGTCAGCAAGTATGCCCAGACCGGGCCTGGGGAAAACGTACAGCGATTTCGAAGTCAACGAATTTCTCCGCGAATGTGCTCATCTGGTTGTTGAAGCAGAAGCTGTATTCTCCAGTCTCAGTCGCCGTGAAGACGAAATCACCTTGCCTCTCCTTCTGCCCATCCATGATTACATTGTGGAACGGCCCTCGAACCTCATAATCGACATCGAAGGATCCCCCTGCTTGAACCTATACATTCGATCAATTAGGCCAATGCGAAAAGAACCTGCAGAGTGGGTATGGCATACAGCGAAGTAAAATGCAATCTTCGATCCCTTGTTTTCAATGTTGGAAAAGAAGCACGCCTTCTCGTTCGCACCGAGTTTGTATGTGAGGGCAGTCGCAGAAACAAATGGGGATAGGCAGGCCAGGAGGCCGGACGCAATTATGGAGGCCTTCATGGTGTGTCGTGCTGGTGAAATGTCGCTGTCGATGGAGCCTCCTGAAGATATCTGGACTATCTGTCCGGACTCTGGAGGTCGCGATTCCTCAAAGGGGAAGTCGAAGCGAACGCGCCAGGAACCTTGTCCATGATTGCAGGGGTAGGACAGGGGTTAAATCTTTACCGAAGCTATCAAAACAAACACACTCTGGGAATGATGCTGAGCCTAATTGAATGTGGATGTTGGAATGAACAACCTTGGGATTGGCCGCAATCACCAAAAATGACTTCTGCTCTAAGTATCTTCTGCCGTGCAGTCTTGGATGAATCGTCAAGCATGCGTATTGCTGCGGATGATGATTGCATGTACAGTTCATCTTGTGCTCCACAATACCATAACGATTGTAAAGTTAACCTGAATAGTCTTTCCCTATACCAAGTCCTGAGTTCCATAGAGCATGATATTTTGGCAGCCAACATGTTCCAGACTCAAACGAGACAAGGAAGTTATTAATAAAGCGGTGGAGAAATGATTTGTTGCTCCTTTGCCTCAGAGTTGGTAAAATCCTGCTTTCTGATGGTGAAGCGTGCAACAAATGGACAGGCTTGAAAAAGTTCAGCTTACTTGAAAATATAGTGTTCTAATATGGCAGCAGAAATAACAACTCTAGCCGAGGGTCTTCGTCTTGCTAGACAGACAAAACCGTAGACCCGCTTCCCCAAGCAACCAGGATAGGTCGAAGGTTGAAGATATTGAACCGCAATTGGCTGAGAATGACTCTTCCGAATCTAAGTACGATAGGTTTTGAGACTAATGAGCGATATTCTAAAGGGTGTTTATTTCCTCGATCATCAATTGGGTGCAAAAGGTCTTTAAAGTCAAGCCGTCATAGATGGGTTGTGATCACACCACTGCACATCAAATTACAGAGTTTGTATCAATATCGAAAATATCAGTTGAAAGCACCAGGTACATGCGAACAAATATTTGCTCGTGACATTTCGATACAAGTGTCGTTTCGAAAATACGTATATATGCTGGTTCTATCTAGCTAGGGCATTGAGAGGAGACGCCTGTCTATCGTTCTACAGAATGTCTAAGTTGCCGAGTAGAGTCTCGTTTGGGCAGCGTTTGGAGAACAAGGAGGATTTTTATCTTCAAGTCGTCCTCGATGTCTGGCTTCACGTGCTTGAAGACCGTCCTGCAACGTTCTTTCGCTATGACTGGCGAGAAGCTCGTTAAATAAGACTTTTCGCCTATATATTGTCTGAAACTATATAGATATGAAGTGACCTTGGTCTAGGTGGCAAGGTCAACATGGCTATGACTATGCTCCTGAGGACACTGGAACCCAGTTTGGTATCCTAGTAAGGAAAGAAAGTTTCCAAAGTGTGCTACAAGAAACAGAAATAGGGCTCGATAACTTCACTTCTGAGGGGTACAAACTGTCATTGGCGTCGTAGCATCTTCGCAACCTTAGAAACGATGCTGTGTTCTAGAAGAAAATGCGAAAATGCTAAAATGCAAAAATGTTGAAGGGACTGCATTTAGAAACTTAAACATAAGTTGTCATTCTGCGTACGCACTACTAGAGCCTACCTAGGTAGTTTTTGATGAATCCAGGTGTAGCGGTTTTAGCCTTAGTTCACCATGCATAGGTAGCTCCCGAGCGACGAGCCTGGCATGCCCAAGAAAGAGTGAAGAAGCAAGCCTATTGCCGGCTCTCATAGATCGAGCAATTATTCCGCATTTCATTACTCTTCCTCAATCACCCATTCACAGATGACCAAAATGAAAGGCACATGGAAGATTAAAGAAGGACATTGACTGTCCCCTAGGCCTCTTCCTTCCATTCAATGGTTTCAAAGCCAGAATCATCCAACCAAATATGCAGATTACCATTCCAGGACATAACGGCCCACCCAGTGCAACCACCCATTCTTTTGCACTTTCTTGTTGTCCCACTTATTTACCGACCCACACAGTCCTGCGCCGGACGTAATATGCCTTACACACCACAGCACTCAGAGAAAAGTTCATTCACGCCCCTGTCATGCACTCCATGATCTCTTCAGTCTCAAGGGTATACTACTTGAATGTATTTTCTAATTCTCATTTCATCGCTGCTCGTCCTCATCACCCACATCGTATTGCCCACGCACCTCCTCCCAAGGTATTGCCGCCCAGCACACCCATTTCCGACCTTCTAACCTCCTACCCAACCGTATCAGCAACCCAGCGCACGTACTCAAAGCACCGCCCACTCCGCCGCTCGCTACAACGAACAAAAGGATGACGAAGAAAGAGGAGTAACGAGTAGAAGCCATGCTTGAGCGAGAATATGAACCTGAATGTGAAAGATGATACCACAAAACAGCCGCCGGAGGATACGTATGACACCGAAGCAAGAGGCAAGCAAACCATCTACCCCGACTAATCCGCTAGCCCATCCCATATATCTGTCTGTCTGTATGAGAAACCGCCACTCTTGCTTGCTCATCGCTCATTTTACCACCAAAGCGCCGGAGATCGAGGTGAATGAAACCCATTCTTCGTTTCGTAGCATACAAATATCCATACGTCGTGTCGTCCCTCTGCTCTTGAGCATGTCCCGCCTAATGTGCAATGCCAGTTGACAGTAAACCAGATCAAAAAAATCTACTTCAAGAATAAATCCTGTGCGCCGTTTCTGAGGGAGCGTGACCGATCCACGTGGTCTAAGCCGAGCAAATCATCCTCCGAGGTAATGAGTTCGTCTAAAATTTGATCTAGAGACTGTCAGTAGAACTACCATGGATCGAAGATACAATGTACTTGCCATCTGTGATATACTGTGGCTTAGAGTACGAACTCCGCTTGACCACAGCAAACTTTATCTTCTCAAAGTTCTTGCCCTTCATTCCAGTCCGCTTCTCCAATCGCTTCTTGGTCTCCGAGAATGGTTCTCTCTAAACTGGTATTAGTGACCTATTGGCGTGGAGCGAATGTCAAAACTCACAGGTATTAGTCGAAATTTGAATGGGTTGCCGTGGGACTTGCTAGGCTCGCCTTGGAAATGGAAGGCTGGTATAAATTCGGAAGAATCGTCGGCGATGTCATCTTCTGGGAAACGCTGCGCCATAATACTGACGTAATCTGAAATGCTATTGACAAGAAAATCTCGGGCGAGTTCCTTGTGTATTTTATGGCTGTGTACTTCGTAGAGTTTGACACGGCCACCGGTTACTTCGTCGTCGATTTGCGCCTTTTTAACCAGAGCATTGATCACATCCTCAACACATCCGCTCTTGGCAACAAGAATATCGTAAACGTCCTGCAATTATGTTAGCACTTCTTGCTGTGAAGAAATGTAAAACAACTTACGACTTTGGTGACTCCCTCGCTCACCCACATGACCTTGATCAGCTTCTTTGTGTCAAGTTCTGAGAGACTCATGTCGAGAACTTCGAAATATAAAGAGTCATTCCGCTGGTTGTTGTTGCTGAAAGTGCTGTATGGAGGATTAAGAATGGTCTGGAGATTCTGACTCTGGCCACGCTTTACAACTGCCTTCGGTTTCCCACTGGTTGCATTGATCGTTGTGAATCTGAGATGGGTCGGGTCAACTTCGAGATAATCTCCAACTTTAACGGCAATCTGGTCGTAAGAATGCTTCGAATTAAGAACAAGTGTGAAGGGTTCGACTCCTGAAGTCGTGTCCATTGGCCAGAACTTGACCTCACGCCTGTGAACCAAAAAGTCATAGAATGCTGGGGCGGTCTCGATCCGATCAGAAGACATCCTACTTAGAGAGGTCCGATCGGACTTGGAAATTGAGTTCTTATCCAACGACCTTGTAGGCGTGCTCTTGTCGGATTTGATGGATTGACCCCTGTCGAGGTCAGTAAGCATCAATCGCTGCGTGAGGGTTGTGACTGACGAATCGCTTTCTGACTTGCCATCTGATCCCGCTAATTGGAAGCAGATGATATCGCCATCCTGCAGCTCAGCAGCTTTTAGAGACTGCTTGGCCTTCATTGGCTCAATCATAGATGGTTTTATTTCCTGGAAATTAGTCAGAAACTGGTGCTGCTACCTCGTAGTAGAAGCCTTGACGTACCTCGTACAACTTCAACTGAACCCTCTCTCCGGTGGCGAGCTTTTCTGGCCATCCCATCTTTTTCAGAATGGCGGGTACCAAGTCTTCAACCTTCTTTTCCCGGCTGATGTAGATGTGCCCAGCTCCATTCAGAGTTTGCTTCTCAACATCGAAATGTTTCAGGAAGAGGACAATCAGATCGGTCTTCGGGGACCCACTTGGCCCAGGAGCAGCGGGCCAGACTGCTTCTCCATCAGCGTCCAAATTCTCAGCAACTTCAGCCCAAAGTCGTAAGTCTGTTCCTTTGCTGCCTGTCATCCTCGAATGCGCTTCCTCAATAGTCATATGCGGATCCGTGAGTGGGATATCTGGTCGGACAGTCTTATTCTGGCGGTTTACCATTCCCCATAAACGGATCCGTCGGGGGTCAACCTCGGTATCTTCACCAACCGTTCTAGCTAGATCGGCAATACTTGATTTTCGAAGATATCTGAAATACTTTGCAGCTGCTGGGTCGTCACTGGGACTGCGGTCGAAAAATGTAAGATCCGTGCCACCATGCTCTCGGAATGTGTCGTTTGTGATAACTCTGACACCTAGGTACAGATGCTGTTCTTCTCTCTCCTTTTTACGTGCTTCTCGAAGCGCGGCTTCTTCGTCGAGCTTTTTCTCTACAATATTATCAGTATAACCTAAGAAAGGGAGATCCTAGAAACCTTACGAAGATGTGAAGGAATGTCCTCTTCTGTGACCGGGAGAAGGACATTGTCTACACGGCTCTGGCGAATATACACCAACATGTATGCGCTGTTATGGCGCATAGCAGGTTTTGCTTTCACCTTCACCGTCTGGCCCCTGGGGTCGAGATACGCCCCACCGAAATTGTCTTCTAGGACCTCTCGCATAGTGGCTTTTGTCACTCTATCGTCGTCGTACCTGTAGAACCATCCATCCTTGGTAGGCTTGATGAATGCGTAGTAATGACCAGCATTCAAATCACCACTGTGTACAAGGACTCCATGCAGTTGATACACCCAAGACTCTGACCTGTCAGCGTCATCGGCCAAGAACGGGGCGGCATCGAAGGTTTCAGGAAATTCATAACGGTCGTTGATCTTCATCATGGCATCCCTTTCGATATCATACTGGAAGCGCTTCAGCTGTAAATGGAGCACTTCCGGGAAGGTCTCAAATATAACACCTTTGTTGGCATCCTGCAGCTTGAACTCGTCTCCCGCGAAGTACTGATTCTCGCCATTCATGACCTCGACTTGCACATAGTCCCTGAAACTGGCCTCAATATCCTTGTTACCGTGTACGTTGAGCTGAATGTCCCAGTAATCCTCAACGCGGCGGGATTCATACTTGACGTTTATACAAGATATGTATGTCCGGACCTTTCCACAAAATAATCTTGGTAGAACATTTTCTGCTTCGGTGCCCTTCATTTTCTCCTCCATCCGCTCCATGAGTTTTCTCGAGAGTTCTTGTACATCCTGTTGCTCGAAGATATGCCTTGTCTCCCAGCCGAAAGATTTAGTAAGCTCATTCGTCCCAACAGCGTTGTTAGAGCTTTGAAGTTGGTAGAAGAGTCGCTGTAGGGTATACGCGCTATTTTGTAGGGTTTCTTCATCCTGTGTAGGTATTTGGTATACAGCCTGATTGTCAGCATAGAAATTTCAAGGAGGGAGGTGATTTGAAGCCTACTTTGCGGAATGCATTAGTGAAATATAGAGATTGTAAAAGTGAGTTGAGATAACATGTTGCTCCTTGATTCTTCAGTCCAACAAAGCCGGTTTCCTTCTTCGAGTCGTAATTATTGAAGTTGTGCCATAGTACTCCTGTTTCGTCTTTGACCACTTTGACATATGCTGTCATACTAGCTTTTTGGCCTGGTGCCAGATAATGGCCAGATTCATCGTATGGTTGTGCCCAAAGTTTCCGCAGCTCTACGAAACGTGTGAAGCCCCAGTCGCCCTCCTCCTTTGTGAATCGGTGGTGGGCTGTGTGAGTGGCAAAAACCCAGGGTGCTTCCGGATTCCAAAGTACAAGGGCAAATTGTACGCAACAGGCGAAATCTTCGGGGAGCTCTGATTCTTCGTAGCCATGTTCGAGGTAGAAGGACGCGAAGTCTACATTATTGCCATTTGGGAACATGAGAACTCGCCTGCAAATATCAGGAATTATTCTTCCAGCCTCGAGCGCATCTGGCAGAAAGAGCTTACCATGGGTGTCCGCCAGCATAGAATATGGGACCTTTTGTTCTCCGGGGTAACTCCTTCCAGTCCTCTATCTCCCATGTATTCGTCTTGATCTCGAGAGTCGGAGGCTGTTCCGGAAGTGGTGTGAGTACAAATTCTGTCATAGCCTCAACTGCGCGTCACAATATTAGCCCTGCGCCTGCCTGAGCTGGAAGATCTGGGAAAACATACGGTCGTCGGCGCGAGGCCCAGTCGCATCTGGATCGATGATGGCCACATCATCCTTTGAGTCCACATCATTCATATATTCGTCTGAATCGACCAGCATATCACTAGGAGTGTCAACGTCGTTGGTGTAGCTCTGTATTTCGGAACCAGTGGGATTAGCAGTGTATGTAAGGTATTCGCCGTCCTCACTGATAGAAGGGGACTCCATTTTGGCGCACTGGTTGTGGACGGAGGGTGCCAGTTGTTGCGGAGGAGGTCGGCAAGGTAAGGCGGAGGGGTAGGTATGAGGGGGATGCGCTCACCGGATTCATGTTTGCAACAGGTGCGAAACGGAGACACAGTGCAGTGCAGTGCAGTGCAGAACAAAGCCACCTTCCCAGAAAGTGAACCGGATGGATGAATGAAAGAAAGAAGGAAGGAAGGAAGGAAGGAAGGAAGGCGTGGTTCAGGTAAGGTAGAGGCAAAACGAGGAGGAGGGGAGAGAGGAGAGGGAAGGGGAAAGGTAGGTTGGTAAGGTGTGGTCGGTATCCAGGTAAGCTAGGTAGGTAGGTACGATGATGGAAAGTAGGCGGAAGGACGCGAAGAAGACTGAAGGTTCGTACGGAGTAGGTACTGCACAGTACCTATGTCCTGTAGGTACCTAGGTAGGTAGGGTAGTTAGCCAGTGGTGTTGGTCGGATCGGCAAGGTAGAGGTAGCGCAATTCTGACTGCTTGTATGGGCTCGCTGGGCTGGGCTGGGCCGTGCTGTCCTGTGCTGTGCTGTGCTGTCCTGTGCTGTGCTGTGCTGTGCTGTGCTGTGCTGTGCTGTGCTGTGCTGTGCTGTGCTGTGCTGTGCTGTGCTGTGCTGTGCTGTGCTGTGCTGTGCTGTGCTGTGCTGTGCTGTGCTGTGCTGTGCTGTGCTGTGCTGAGAGCAGAATAAGAATAGAGCAGGCTAGGCAGTTCCAGTACTTCAGGTGTTTGGGTTGCGCCCAGTGGCTACTCGAGGCTGCTGCACTGCACTGCATGAACTGCACTTGTGCTTGTGCTTGCGGTGATTCGCTTGGGGGCGGGTGCGGGTGCAGGTGCAGGTGCGCTGCATGCTGTGGGAGCGGAGCGGAGCGGAGCGGATGACGTGACGTGGAGAGACAGAAGGAAGATGTGACGGGGTTGGGTTGGGGATGGGCACCAGGGCAAGGGACGCTGGGACGGTCCAGTAAGGTACCTTAGGTAGGTAGGTAGGTAGTTAAGTAGGTAGGTAGGTACCTTTAGGTAAGTAGCTCGGTACCTAGGTAGGAGGCGAGGCTCTGGAGGCAGGCAGGGATCCTGATGACGAGGTTTTGTTTGTGCGTCAACAAAAGTAATTTAGCTCTTACAAGAAAGCACGTACAGTACGGAGTACCTCATCTATGTAACATCCAGGTCTTTACATTCTCTCTTCCCATATATACACGCACGGCAGTGGGCACGAAGGTGTAAGTGGGCACCGTTGGGAAACCTGGGCAAAAGGCCGTGAATCATGCATGGAAGGAAAGAATGTGGGCGGCGGGCTGTATCAAACGTGAATAGGTAGGTACTCATGTGGGTAGGTACCTACTGTAGGTACCTAGTACATATATTTTGATTCTGCCATCTCGTGCCAAGTCTTACCCGTGGCAAGGCTGACGGCAGCCTGCCGCCGTGAGAGCAGCTTACAGTATTAGCCACACTGTCTATCGAATAACTAGCCACAGCTCTTTGGATTTGGGAGGAGAACAAAAAGAGATTGTAAAATTCCACAGTACCCTTCCAAAAGCCCCTTCTTGTACTTGGACTGGGCAAATGTATATCACCCGGCCTTCTTTGCCTAGAAGAAAAATGTCAACGGCAGCTATGACTGAAGTGCAGTGCCGTACATCAACCTGCACAGACCCCGGCGAAGACTGCTGGCAAAGCGGCAAAACAATCAACAGCAGATCTATGTAGCATACAATATAGTAGAGTGGTATAGTCGCAGAAGCAGAAAGCTAGAAAAGAAGTCCCTCGAGGACAAGCCGTAGCGTAAAGTCAGGGATATATGAACGCCAAGCAGATTTTACCCCCCGAATCACTTTTCATCCATCCCTTCCATGTTCCAATCTCACTCCTTGGTCTCCTCCTTCGTGACTTCAGCAACGGGGGTAACCTTCTCGGCAGCCGGCTTGTCGACAGCATACTTAACAGTAAGACCCTCCTTCACAGCCTTCCCTTTCCCACCATAAGCCTCTGGTAACTCACTGCCCCAGCCCTTCAACTCGCCTGCAAGACTCGACCCATACGCCAACGGATGGAACTTCTTCACAGTCTCAGGGCTCAAGAATAGTTTCATAGCGGCAAATACCCAGCCCATAAGAAGCGGCACGTTGACGAAGAACTTCTCCTTCAAAAGCTCTGGATACGCCATGCTAAACGTCTGGATCGTCTCCTTGGATGCGGCCTTGATAGCTGGGTCCATACGAAGGAAAGAGGTGTTCAAGTAGTCGTGGACTTGCACCATACGATAGGGATCAGTTCCGTCAGCGGGTATTGGTTCGGTGGCAGATGCAAGGTCAAGTTCTCGGACTGAGAGCTCCATGAGCGCTGCACGCCATTTGATGAACCTGGATAGTCAGTAATCAGAACATAGTAAGATCTCAAATGAAGACGTACTCATCGACATCGCCAAAAGTAGCTTTGTTATCCTTCACCGCACCATAGATGTTCCATGTAACAACCTCCTTTGCATGGGCATCCGTCTTCGGATAGACTGTGACATAGCCCAAATCACCAAACTTGGACTTGTCGAATTCAACATCAGTCAAAAGCTTCAGGGGATCCATCTTCTTCCTCCATTTTAGAGCTTCAATGAGCTGCGCCTTGGCCTTGACCATGTCTTTAGCATTGGCCCTCAGGAACTTCTCAAGGACAATGGTGGTTGGGACATGAGTTGCATCGGTGAGTGTCACGCCCCAAATTTCGCCATGCCCGGCTTCTCTGGTAATGGCAGGGAGATCGGCCAGGAGCTGCTCAAGTGGAGTAGTTACAGACTTCTTCTCTTGGACAGTTGCAGCTTTCTCTTCCGGGCTAGCTTCGAATTTTTTCTCTTCAGCGGGGACTGGCTCAGCGTTCTTCTGGTCAACACCACGCGGTGGAGCGGGAGCTACGGGCTCAACAGCGGCTGGGGCTTGCGTAACAGTCGATTGAGCTTCTCCAGCTTCGATTTTCTTCTCCTCGGCGCCAGAAAGCGGCTGAGTGGCTGCGGGAGGTGTTGCTACAGGTTCGGAACTCATGACAACAAGATTGCTGAAGTGTGGTGAGCGGACTTGCCGAAGGAGACGTGGTTGAGATTTTGTGAAGTTGGGTTTACTACTGTATGATCGGAAAGTCAGGTAAACTTCAACATGTCCAGTGGGTCGCACTCAAACAGCGGCACGTGAAAGCTTACCAAAGTAGGTACCTCAGGTAGGTAGGTAGGTAGGTACCTTAGTGGCAGCTGGGTAGGTGTATTTACCTTACCTAGGTCCCTGCCCAGGTCAGCATCCAAACTCAACATTGATAGAGCACGACGCCAGCTCGAGGACGAATCTACCTTCGGTATTATTACAGATACACACTGGCCCGAGTACAATTCTCGAGTGATATTCAAGCAAGAAGAAACAATCCACAATGGACAAATTTATGCCTCGATCATCCCATTCCCTTTTCTCTCCAATGACAAGGATCACCGATTCCGGCGCGACTAGCTTGACTCTGCGATATCGACCCTCAGTAGTATCGCTGCACAGAGTGACACAAAACCAGCTGCACCCCTCATTGACTCTGCACATCCGCATCCACATCCACCTGTCCAATCCCAGCCCATACGCATATTTATTTTCAGACCCTTCAATCCCGTCTCTATCCCTTTCCCCTCGCCTTCTTCATCAACTTCACATGGAACCGCCAGAATGCTGCGATCATGGTTGCACAATGGCCCAAAAACCTACCGGTTGACAAGAAACAGAGCTTGGTGTACCGCTTTCGCTGCCCAGCAACAGGACAACCAACACCCTGTACTTACATATCAGACAAGGAGATACAATGCGCCACCGTGGAGACCGGCTTCTACACTAGACGAGTAAGAATCAACACTATAGCTATGGGAGAGTTTTACTGATGGAGGTTCCAGATGGGTCGGGAAAGAAGCCAGACCAATAAGTCTCAGACAGCTCATGGTCTTTGGCCGTTCCCTCACAGAAGCACGACTGATAAGCTCTGCCAACTATGTACGAACTGAGCTACCTACACGGTATCTTCCCCCGTGCCAACCATCAATTTACAAAGACTAAATGCCCAGGTTGGCCCATCGAATACGGGATATGCAGACGCTTCCGTACGTCGTTGTAACGAACCCGCATATCAGCCAGGTCTACGAGCTGTACTATAAAGCCTTCGAGAGTCTACGACGAGTACGCGAGATCAAGAGCTTGGACGACAACGAGAAATTCTGCAAGAAGATCAGCCAGACGTTGCAGGAGCATCTAACGGTTATACCAAAGCTTGCAATGGGTGTGTTGGAGTGTAGGGAATTAATGAAGCCAGAAGATATGGATAAGTTCATGAATACGATTCTCAGATCTGTCAGTCCCCTCCTACTCCTTCCCCCTAGATACAACAAGATACTCTCCGAAAAAAAAAACCCCTAACGTCTAGAAGCGTATCTCCCGTCGTGTGATAGCAGAACAGCACCTTGCTCTCACTGAAACCTTCCACTCCCCCTGGCACTTTCCCGACGCCCAACCACCACCCACGACACAAACCGAATTTGTTGGCGAAGTCTTCCTGAAATGCAACGCCCGCGAAGTTGTCACAAAATGCTTCACAGCCGTCGAAACGCTCTGCGCCGCAACCTATGGGCCATATACCGTTCTCCCTGCCATAAAACTGTCTGGGCACCTGGACGCAACATTTCCATATATTCTCTCACACCTGGAATATATCATTGGGGAGTTGCTGCGGAATAGCATGCAAGCCATGGTTGAGCGGCAGAAGACACGCCCAAGAGGATGGGATACCACATCGCCTCCTCCCATCGAAGTTACAGTATGCGAAGCACCCCAGCATGTGATTATTCGAGTCAGTGACCAGGGAGGCGGAATACCACGAGATATCCTCCCGTATCTATGGAGTTTCAGTAAAGGACCGAGATCCTCCCAGCGACTGGAAAATCTGACGCAGGTCCCCAAGATGGCTGCTACACTACAGGAGTTGCGCGTATCATCCGCGGACATGCCTTCAAACCAATCAATTCCCTCTGATACCCATATTCACACACCAGTGTCCTCACCGTCGCCCTCACCCTCACCCTCGCCATCAACCTCAACCTCTACGTTCTCCCCACCACCCAGTATATCCGGACACGACAGCTCTCTCAGCAGTCTGTCCAGCCGACCCCCAAATCTGAGACTTGGTATGGGTCTCCCCCTTAGCAGAGTATACGCCGAGTACTGGGCCGGTAATCTAGAATTGCACAGCCTAGAAGGGTATGGAGTCGATGCGTTCCTCCAGATTAGTAAGTTGGGGAATAAGAATGAGCAGTTGACCATGAGAGCAAGTATGGATGCCGTGTAGTTGTGCCTTGGCCCAGGGTGGGGCGGTGAACTAGCTTGAAGTTTTGGAGTAGAAAAGAAAGTGTAGTCCGAGACGGAAGTGATAATGGACTTGCCCGGACTGCAAAAGCAGTATTACGAGGTGGAGGATTGTGAACTGGAGAGCGCCTTTGGATTATTTCACAACAAGATGCTGACCCCCCTTGCAAGTTAGTGAGAAGATATTAGGCGATTTGAGGCAGGGCAGCATGAGGCATGCACACCTCTATATACATGCCATCACACTCAAAGAGTACACAATCGATCAGGCGTAGAGAAGCATTGAATTACATCGTGGCTAAAGCTAGTAAGAAATAAGGGAGCCAGCCAGCTACACCACCAGGCACGATACTGAAGCCAGGTAAAGGCCAGAATTAAGCAGCCTAGCTTCCCAACACACAAGAAGATAGCCGCAAGAAGAAAATGGAGTTCAAAAGAAGAAGACCAGAAGATTTGCCCCCTTGCGCGTGTTGTGAATGAACCTGCTTACAACACCAACTAACAGTCACCCTTCCATCCTTTGCACCCCGAGCCGCCATTTGCTGTGCCCGAATAGACAAGATAGAAGAAATTGCAAGGTTCTATGCCCCTCCTCACAGAAAGAAACAGACGCCGTGGGTATTAGCTAGCCAGTTTCCAATTCGAGGAATGATGATTTCAGAGCAGGATAAGCTTAGCGACGGCCGTGAGAGCGAACAGCACTGCCTTGCATCTGCTCGAGCTCGCCTTCCAAAGATTTGATAGCAGCGTGCGTGCTCTCCAAATCCTTGTTGAGGCGATCACGCTCACTGATGAGTTTCTGCTCCCACTGTCTGAATCTGTGCTCCTCGATCTTGACCTGCTCGGTGAAGCGCTTGCGCAGACTCTCCTCCTCTTCCTTGAATTTGGGATTGTCGAGCTTTCTTGGTCTGGCCTCGCCGAACTTGCGAGTCTCCATCTGTTGCGCGCGGTAGGCTTCATAGTGTGCTTCTTCCGTGGTGTGAATCAAATCTAGCATATGAGTTCTGATGAGAATTGAGCGCAGCTTCTTGAAGTCGCAGTGGTCCTCGTTCTCGACTTCGGCGACACCCCAGGAGTATTGGCGACCCTTGACAATGCGGCCGTCGCTGGTCTTGACATCCTTCTCGGATCCGATAACAGCAAATGGCATGGCAGCCATCAAGCTGCGGGCGTGTTGAGCAGCGGCCTCATCATCCTCTTCGACTGGTGGGGTGTAGATCTTGATTCCCTGGGCCTCGATGACTGCGCGGATCTATGCCTAATTAGTTCCTATATTTCCCATCAAACCTCTGAAACTCACCCTTTGCTTGTAACGGGCCAAATCAGCTGGGCTGAGGGTATCTGCCTTTGCGACAACTGGGATCAAGTTGACTCTGGAGCTCAATCTCTTCATAACCTCAATATCCAAAGGCTTCAAGGTGTGTCCCGTTGGTCTGATAAAATACAGGCATGCATGGACACGGAGATCGATCTTGTCAACACGGCGGGGTTGTTGTTCTTGCAACATATAGGACTCATGCTGATCGTCCAGGAACTCGATAATTGGCATCCAAGAGTCGCGATTGTTGACATAGTCTCCAAATCCAGGGGTATCAATAACGGTCAAACGGACTGCGCATTGTTAGTAACTGGCAAAAGAGAATGCATGCAATCAATGTGCCTACCCTTGAAGAACTTCTCCTCGAGTTCAGCCTTTGTAATCTCAATCTCAACGGTCTTGTCGACTTGCTTTGCATGTCTGCGCTTGTGGTCCGCGTAATTCTTGATCGTCGTGGAGAACTTGAGCGATATTAGATAGCACACAACGTATTTGAGCCAGGAGAACTTGCTAAGGTATTGATGAAGGTAGTTTTTCCTAATCCTGACTCTCCTGCTACCATGATGGTAAAAGCTGCCCCTCGTTTTGCGACAATCTTGTGGCGTTGGTTGGGAAGACTGGAGAATGTTAGCTACGCTCACAGGCGACCGAGGACCGGGGACCAACTTCGCAATGCCAATAGGCGATGCGCTCTCCGTTGTAGGTGGTGCCATTGTCTGCGATTGTGTCGTTGCTTTAAGGGAACTAATTGAGTTATAGGTTCGCCGTGAGTATCGTGTCAGAGGAGGGTGATGCGAGGTTGTCTTTTCTGGAGATCCAATTTGGGCCCCTTCCCCTGAAATTGAGACCCCAGTTACGCTAACGAGCTTGGCGTTCAGCGGATTAACATTCGGCCCGGGATGCAGAAAAGAATCCACTGATTGCGATAAAAGTTCTGGGGTTGAATACAACTTTTGGTCTAGAGAATGAAAATGCCAATGCAGAGGTGACAATGAAGACGGAGTTTAAGGCACGAACTCATGTGCAGATCATTGAGAGCCCCTGCTAACATAGTTCTTAGTTCTCCAACCTATTAGGGACTGTTTATAGCCAGGGAAACCTGCTTTTCAGTCCTGATGGCACTCTTCTTTACTCTCCAGTAGGAAACCGAGTGACAGTCTTCGACCTGGTCAAGTACGACATGTCGCGCCAACTTATAGTGCCTCTACTTACAACTGTGCAGCAATAAATCACATACTCTACCGTTTGCACATCGAAAGAACATAGCTCGATTGGGCCTGGCACCGAGGGGTAACCTGTTACTCTCAGTCGACCAGGATGGCCGAGCAATCCTCACACATGTCCAACGCCGAATTGTCCTTTTTCACTTCACCTTCAAGTCCCCGGTATCGTCTCTCGCTTTCTCACCTTCCGGACGTCATTTTGCAGTAGGACTAGACCGGCATATTGAAGTATGGCACACACCATCAACCCCAGACCAGAACGCAGATGGAGAGCTGGATTTTGCACCATTCGTCCTGCATAGGAGGTACGCCGGGCATTCAGATTCGGTGCAAAATCTCGAATGGTCTGGAGACTCCCGTTTCTTCCTCAGCGCCTCGAAGGATTTGACTTCTCGCGTGTGGAGTTTGGAATCGGAAGATGTGTCGGCCAAGACGGTGTTGGGTGGACATCGTGAAGGGGTTCTGGGGGCATACTTTTCCAAGGACCAAGAAACTATATACACAATAAGTAAGGATGGAGCAGTTTTCGAGCGAAAATACCTACCAGGACGCAATGAGGAGGGGCATGACGAGGACGATGATGACAACGACTCTCATGCTCGGTGGCGCATCACAAACAAGCAATTTTTTATGCAACACAAGGCAAAGGTGACCTGTGCAGTATTTCATCCCGACCGGAATCTGCTAGTTGCGGGATTTTCAAACGGGATATTTGGACTCTACGAAATGCCTGAATTTAACATGATTCACAGTCTCAGTATTTCACAGAACGACATCGATTTTGTTACAATCAACAAGTCTGGAGATTGGTTGGCGTTTGGAGCGTCAAAATTGGGCCAATTACTAGTGTGGGAATGGGAATCTGAGAATCAGATATTGAAACAGCAGGGGCATTTCGATTCGATGAATGCACTGGTCTACTCGCCGGACGAACAGAAAATAGTCACAACGGCGGATGATGGCAAGATTAAAGTTTGGGATGTCAACTCGGGCTTCTCGATTGCTACTTTCACCGAACACATCAGCGGTGTAACTGCATGCGAGTTTGCGAAAAGAGGAAATGTGTTATTCACAGCAAGTTTGGATGGTTCCGTCCGAGCATGGGATTTGATCAGATACCGGAATTTCCGTACATTCACAGCACCAACCCGATTATCGTTCTCATGTCTTGCTGTTGACCCCAGCGGAGAAGTGGTTTGTGCTGGTTCGTTGGATTCTTTTGACATTCATATTTGGTCAGTCCAAACTGGACAGCTTTTGGATCGCCTATCTGGTCACGAAGGGCCAGTCTCATCCTTAACCTTTGCACCTAATGGAAGTGTAGTGGTCAGTGGAAGCTGGGATCACACAGTCAGAATCTGGTCAATTTTCGACCGCACACAGACCAGCGAGCCCCTACAACTTCAAGCAGATGTCCTCGACGTCGCGTTCCGTCCCGACTCGTTACAGCTGGCGGTCTCAACATTGGATGGCCAACTCACCTTTTGGTCTGTCTCCGAAGCGCAGCAACAATCAGGGGTTGATGGGAGGAGGGATGTATCAGGAGGTCGCAAAATAACCGACCGCCGGACAGCAGCAAATGCTGCCGGGACAAAGAGTTTCAGCAGCATCAAATACAGTGCCGATGGGGAGTGCGTCTTGGCTGGTGGCAACAGCAAATATATCTGCTTGTACTCTGTGGATTCGCTTGTACTCCTGAAGAAGTACACAGTCAGCGTCAACCTGTCTCTTTCAGGGACACAGGAATTCCTCAACAGCAAGCTCATGACTGAAGCTGGACCGCTCGGCCTAATAGATGAACAAGGCGAAGCATCCGATCTCGAGGATCGAATTGATAAGAGTCTACCAGGATCAACACGTGGTGGAGATCCATCAGTAAGGAAGCGGATGCCAGAAGTAAGAGTAACGGATGTCGCTTTCTCGCCGACCGGAAGGTCGTTTTGTGCGGCTTCCACCGAAGGTCTGTTGATCTTCAGTCTGGATACAACGCCTTTATTCGATCCAATCGACCTTGACCTCGAGGTTACTCCAGCCTCTACCCTTAACGTTCTCGAAAACGAGAAAGACTACTTAAAATCCCTCGTCATGGCATTCCGTCTTAATGAAGGGTCTCTCCTTCGACAGGTATTCGAAGGAATTCCATACACAGATATTAGTCTCGTCACGAAAGAATTGCCTGTCATCTACCTCCAACGTCTCCTCCGGTTGGTGGCTAAGGAGACCGAGGAGTCTCCACATGTGCAATTCTGTTTGTTATGGATGGAAGCCATTGTCGATTCTCATGGCCAATGGATTCAAGATCATAAGGGCATGTTGGATGCAGAGTTGAGAGTCATAGAACGGAGCGTGACCAGGATCCAGCAAGATACCCTTCGTGTGTTTGAGGAGAATTGTTATACAATTGAGTATGGATTGAGCCAGCCGCTAATAAAGAGTGCCGATGCATCGTTGTTGATTATCAATGGCGATGATACAGACATGGTAGTACCTGGAGACGAGGATCCGGAATGGATCGGATTAGAGTAGGGCCTGCTGTTACCATGGAATTTGATGCAAGATGCATTTTGTTTAGCATCTGCTCAGCGAATTGAATCTCAACTTTCATAAGCTCTAAAAGTGCCACATCCGTGACTAGCAAATGAGCACAAATCCTTATGGGTACGCTTCTTCAAGCCGGGAGCTAACCACAATTCCAGACCTAGTTCCTTTTTCGGTCGACAGTGAAGCAATGATGTGGCAAACTTTACAATCGTGTCGGACTTCCGAAGCAGCTACTATGCTGGTTGTTCCCCCACTCTAGAACTATAGACTAGCTGATTTTTAGGACTTCAGGAACAGAAGAGTTGCACGGTAAGTTGCAATTTCAGCATGGAAGATACTGTACAACGATCAGCGGGCAAGGGGCTGGGTGCAATTTCTTCCGCAGCCAATCAATCCGCGTCAACGTCGATATTCGATGAACAAATACATTTTCTGGCACGAAAAATAATCTCAATCTACGTTGTACATTAAGTGAAGCTCGTGAGCCTCCCCGACAGAATAGTAGTAAAAAAAGTCGAGACGCCTCAAATCCATGACCATTACTTCAATCAACAGCATAGCCCTTTTAAATCACTTTGCGTCAAGCAGACAGTAAAACAAGAACTGCTCCGAAACACTCCTCCGACAATCTTCTCCTTTCACGCTTTCTGGGCATGACTGGCAGCTGCAAAATCCAACCTATCTGCCCCGCTGACCACCCCACTAGATGGACAGACCCCAGATGTGGTAAAGGTCTTCGATCCGGCCGTTTCTTCTCCCAATTTCCGGTCTGGATCGACAAGAATCTTCTTCTCATGTAGATATACCTCCTTCTGCAGAAAAATATCAGCTTCTCAGTGGAATTCGGACTCATCACAAAGATGTTACTTTGCGACAAGATCGATCTGAATCCTTATGATAGTCCCAAGTGCTTTGACGAGGGCTGTGCCTTGTCAAGCGAGAGCTTTAAGTGAGATAAAATAGCTTCTATCACGACGTCTTAGATAAAGGCGAGACAAATACCCATGAGCATATACGCGATATGCAGCGGATGGGCTTATCCCAGGCCAGCGTGTATCACATATATGAGTATTTTGCAGCTACTTGGCACAGCTTTTAACTGACCCAACATTATCTAAGTACTCCCAGAATTCCATGTGGGTAGGATCAGAGCAAAGCTTGGTTAAGTAGCCCTTCAAGAACATTCCTTCTGCAGAACCATGGCTGTCTCCGTTCAATGTTGCGTCCATTGGGACTTCAAAGCTTGTGCTTCTGTTCTGGAATGCTCGAGCGGTGATATCACATTGCAAGTGTTTTCTGTAAACGACATTGACGACCGCTAGAATAAGAAGAGCTTTGACATATTTGGCTCCCAAAACGGGAGCTTCGATGTCCTCCTTCAAGTATGATTAGTGCTGTTATGGCATGAGTCTGGAAAGGCACTGACAGCTGTTGGATCTAGGAAACTATGCAGATATTGAATTCGAGCTTCTAGACTAGTATGAAGTTTCCGCCGAGAAATATGCTGCATGGGGTGCGCGCGCTTGACATTGCAATACTGGTAGTGCAAGGTACCTGCTCAAGACTGACTGCGAAAAGCACGATGAAATGAACGTGCCTAGGGGATATGAGACCAAATTATGAAATAGATTCGAGAACTAAATCGATGACGAAATATAAGAGCGAATTCTTTGCTTGATAGGAATGAAATAACCATTCGGGACCAAATCACTTGGTCGCGGGATTGTGAGGTAGCAGCAGATTTGTGGCACAAAGAGCTGAGCTCGACACCAAAGCCCCCGCCGCAGCTGCAGCATACATCATTCAAATGGAGATTTGTACGACACTCATTTGATCTCCAATTCAATGCTAGGTAGTATTACTGATCTGAACTGTTGAGTTCTTGGTTAGAACGTGCAATGCGAGGTTGGTATGGGGTTAGGGAGGGATTGTTGTGTTTACAGTACAGTACCGTAACATGCTGTACAGTAGCTCCAGCTACCCTCGCTTATTGCAAAATCACTGCCCGCTTAGATTCTCTCGGGCCTCAGAATAAGACCGAGTAGAGGTTAGCGACGAATAACGCCGAGGAGAATTAACGACGTTACTAGCGCATTCTCTAGTTAGAAGTTAATAGATGTCATACTGGGTAATACTACTTATGAGCAAATATACCCTTGTCAATACTTCATGAACGCTGCTGATGTGTTGATGCAAAGACCTGAGTGATTGAGCGAAATTAGAAAACGAGCTCGGAGCAGATGAAAACAAGTTGATCTTGGTACCCCATAAAGATGTCGTGCAGCCCAAGAGTTTCTCTTCTCGTGGGAGCGATGGGATCAAAGACCGGTGCCGCTGCCAACGAAGAGACTCTTGTGCCGTGCCCTTCCTCTGCACCTCCATAATCCCAAACTGCATTGTGGATAGTGATCCTACAAATATTAGTCGCATCACAAAACCCATGTTGAGCCACTTACCAGTTATACCAAAGCGCAGAAGAAGTACTCAACAAAATTAGGTGGTAGATTTAATAACGAGCAAGTGTGCATTCACAGCGACTTTAACTTCGCCGTAGTATCCTCCCAATGCTCGCTGTTCCTGAGGCGAGATCCTGATTACGGAAAGCTACTACACTTACTTCTTCTATCAACAATATCAACTCATCTTTAAATTCATCACCGAGCTCCTTAAGTTCGAAGCCTATTCCGATATCGTTGGCCAGATGAATGATCTCTTTGGCAGCCGGAAAGAGTGCTATCCTCCCCCGGGTCTGCATGCGAACCTCTGTTTCAGTATTCTCGAAGTCTATTACGAATATTTTCTGAGTCTTGAACATAGACTGGGGACAGTGGAGTGTATGGGTGTCCTTTACGTATATCGATTCCCGCCTCCTGGAGACGAGCAGGATTCTACCCACCATGGCGCAAGCGACTTGTAGTGATTTGTCCATTCCAGATTAGCTGAGGAAGCACGTCTCATATGTAATTCATTCACACCATTCGAAGAAGCGGTTGATAGGGGAATAGGATTAGAAAAATTGCTCCATCGATCAAGAGCTGCAGACAGTGAGGCTTGTTTCCACGCCATCACAAAAGGGTTGCGAAACGCAGTATCGACGCAGTCATCTGACCTTTAAATCGTTCTTGACACAAGGCAACTGGTAGAAGTGAAACTTGTATTTTCGAATCAGTATATTGTATTTAAACCGAACCTTGTTGATATGGTATGCCCTGCAGACTGGCAATCTATAGGGTATAACGGAATGTTGGGCTCTTATCCCCCAGATCAGCCAATTCATCATCTGTCAGCCGTTCTGCCTCGCCACTGTGCTCTCTCTTCGCATTGATACGTCCATAGTTCAACCTCAGCACAACACAGGCAAACAACCCTAAGGTCACAAAGCCAATTTCTAAGCCATGTCCAAGCAGATACTTCGGTCCGTCCATGCTCCTATAGAAGTTGCTCGCCATTGCTCCTCCGAGATTGCCGACTCCGATCTGGAATGCCATACCCGCTGCTCTCTTGTAGCTACCAGCCAGATTATTGCTGATCCATGTAATATTGCCTGGAAAAGCTGGATAAATGCCACAGGTTGCAATAAAGACACCAGCGTAGACGACGCCAGGAACGCCGCCATGAGCAGAACCGGAAATAGCCATGACGAATCCGACAAGAATAGCAAGCATAGGGAAGAAGACGTAGGGCCAGCGAGAGGCACCACGTTTGGCGGCTTTGTCGGAACACCAACAAACAATGATTGCAAGTACTGCAGCGGTACAGTAAATTGGTATCGTAAGAAGTTGAGCTGTGGTAGAGGTGTAGCCGAGCTGTTTGATAATTGTTGGCAGGAAGAGGGAGATGCCATAGAGAGGGCACACAATTCCCCAGTACATAAGAAGACTGAGATAGAGTTGCCAGTCGGTCAGGGCTGCTCATTATTAGCCAGTATTTAACACTAGAAACTTTGTCGCGCATACCTTTAGTAACATATTTCCACTCAAAATGATCCGTCTCAGCCACGGCTCGCCCGCTCTTCTTGCTCCCCTGGTATTTCAAACGATGTACGACCCAAGCTTTCTCTTCCACACTCAGGAATCCGGCGGTATCTGGAAAGTCGTAGAGTAAGAAGAACGCGGAAATGGCTACTACAACAGTCAAGAGACCTTCGAGAATGAAAATCCACTGCCAGCCTGCTCTACCACCAACACCGTCCATTTTGGCAATGGCATAGGCAAGCAAGCCGGAGAAAGCGCCTGCTACGCTGGCGGCACTGAAAAACAGACCTTGGCGGAATGCAAGTTCTTCGGTGCAGTACCTGCCAGGATTAGTAGGATAAATTACTGAGGGTGCATGTCGCAACTTACCACATAGTCAAGTAGTATGCAACACCTGGATACAAACCAGCCTCAGCGACACCTAGGAACAACCTCGCAATGAGCAACCCATGATAGTTGTGCACCAACCCCATAAGGGTCATGACTGAACCCCATGCAACCATGATACTGGGTAGCCAGATAGACGGCCTGAACCGTTTGAGAAGTAAGTTGGATGGAATTTCGAAGGCGCAGTAGGTGAAGAAGAACACGGTCGCGCACAGATTGTATTGTTGACCGGTGAGTTTCAAGTCCTCTTGCATGCCTTGGATCTTTGCATTCCCGATGTTGCCACGATCTAAGAAGGAGAGCAAGTACAAGACAGCTAGCATTGGGATCAGGCGGATATCCATTTTGCGGAGGGTTTTCTCTCGGTTGACATTGGAGGTGTCAATGCCGTTGCCAGACCAGTTCGGGTCATGGACATTTTTTGAGGCCTTTTAAATGCGTGAGGGGCTGGCATCAGGCAGTGTAGAGGTTGACTTACGGGTACTTCATTCTTGTGAGGGAATTCGTCATTTGCGAAGTCCAATTTCTTCTCGTCGATTGTTGACGAAGCCTGTTGGCGAGGATCTCTGAATGATTTCGCCATATTGTATCACCGAATGTACATCAATGATATGCAGATGGAGCAGAACCAGAGACCTTTGTAAGAAGGAAGACAACCATTAATATAGGTATTGTTTGGGCCTGCGTTCCCCGCAAAGATGGGGTTCATCCATCCTCACCATCCTGCAGGATTGAACACACTTATGAGATCCTGGCATCCGCAACCCTGGTATTCTGGATGGAGGAGACCCCGCGTTCGCGGTGACAGCTACCGATGGTCTCATTGGGCTTGAACTATCGTATTGTGTGGCGCAGGAAACTGTGTTGAGGAGTCGCCAGAAGCAAGCGAGGATGTGGCGTGCGGGCAGCGGCTGGTGTGGGCAGCGTGGGCAGTGAGGGACAAACACAGCGTGCGGGCAGCAACTTGAATGGCTGACTCTCTTCTGCCCAGACTTTGGCAGCCTTTTTCATTCACCAAGATCACTTCCACTTCCGTCATTGTAAACAACTAGTGGCTAGACGACGGCAGCAGGACGGGAGACAATGACCCGCATCACGGTATGCAGAACAATATCAGGACTCCTTGAAAAGCCAATTTGTTTCCCTCGGATCGTGTGTTACGTGCGAAGATAAATATCCAATCCAATTCTCATACTTGATATTGACAATGAGGAATGCAGTTACAATCCTGGGAGCAGGAACTCAAGGAAGGCGTCTCGCTTACATGTGGTCAAGTCGAGGAAGACCAGTCAACCTAGTTGATCAAGCGCCTGCTGCCTTGGAGGGAGCACTAAAGGATATTGACCACTTCAAAAATACAATAGGCAAGGCGGATGGACACGGAGGTGGAATAGTCTTGACATTTCGGGGGAATGAATTGGGTGAAGCGTTGAGCGGTGCTTGGCTAGCTGTTGAAGTAAGTGATCATCTTCTGACAGTAAGTTTTGATTTAATATTGATAATACACAGAATGTGCCCGAATCTCTGGAATTGAAACGCTCTGTCATTCAGCAGCTGGACAACATAGCAGATGCAGAGACAATCGTTGCTTCGAACTCAAGTAGCTTCACAGTTCAGGAGATTATTGAAGGTTTAGATCTGCAGCATGCTTCGCGATGTGTCAGCTTGCATTCATGTTAGTGTAAAATTTTCAGATATTCTGAGCGCCAAACGCGAGGAGCGTTTGCTAATGTTCTGAGCGCAGACTGGCCACCAGAGACCCCAGCGATCGAAATCATGGGCTCAACTATCACTAAGTCAGAAATCATCACTCGGCTCATGGATGAATGCAAGACTCACGGATTCGATCCTTTTCATGTCAAGAAAACTTCTAATGGCTATATCTACAATCGGTAATGACTTAAAATACATAGTTCAAAAACTCGTCCATCAAGCTGACAGGAGGGGTAGAATCTGGGCAGCGATCAAACGGGAAGCTTTGTTCGTAGCAGCTGAAGGAGTTGCAACTCCAGCAGAGATCGATGCTATATATAAATCCGTTCTCAAGACACCGAAGGGACCATTTGAGCAAATGGATACTGTAGGACTGGATGTTGTAAAAGACATTGAGGAGCACTATGCCGAAAATAGAGAATCGCTGCCGCAGGAGCCACGAGATCTATTGGCTCGGATGATTCGAGAAGGGAAGCTTGGGGTGAAATCAGGCGAAGGATTCTATGAATATTAGATGAAATACATGTCTACTCAGATGATGGAGATGCTCGTCACGAGAAGATCTCACGAAGTGATCTTAAGCGAACGCTGCCAAACATATGAAGCCGCCAGCATCACTTGATATTCAATGAACTCAAGATTGGGGGCAAAGTGAAAGCAGTTTGAGACATGTGAATAAAATATGCCCAATCCTCAGTACCAAGTCAATTTCCACCACATCTTTGTACTTTGGACCGATTGATACGATGGGTTTCTCAGTGACCTTACAGCCACATGTGGCGCAAGACTTGGCGGGCTTGCTGCCGAACTACCCCGCACAACTGGTCCGAAGATGCATCTACAATTGCGTCCCAAATGCCGCCAGGTTCACGGGAGAGGAATCTCGGTATGTAGGTATAGCAACAAACTTTGTCTGAGATAGAGTATTCTAACTTAGACAGGATCTCTATCTCAGATCTGCTTTGCCCTCGAGGATCTGAGATGGATGACGCCGCGACATCTCAACCCCTTCCGGCAGCTACATCAGGGCGTAGCAAGAAAAAGCCAAAAACATTCCGATGCCGTTTCTGTCCTGACATTTTTCACCGCCTAGAGCATATACAGCGCCATGAACGGACACATACGAAAGAAAAGCCATTCTCATGTTCCTGTGGGAAAGCATTCGCACGGCGGTAAGTCGACAAAAATAGTAACATTCGCCATCAACTGACTGGACTTAAGTGACATATTACTGAGGCATGAAAAGCTAGTGCACGATGAAGGAGTTGATCGCGATGATGGACGATCGCGACCCTCTTTGGCTGCTACCATACCAAGTCCTGTGACCACGCATGCGTCTGTTGACACAAATAGACTATCATCCGAATGGACTTCTCACAACTCCAGTTTCCCATCTACCTTTGCTCCCCCAAGTCTCTCAAACAATACCCCTGTATCTTCGATGTCACAACCTGCATTCTTCTCAGGGCAGTTCGATCCCGAAGATGAGAATATTGCCAGTCTTCCACCTGTCTACGTTGACAGGCATGACTTCATCATACCTGATGCCGTCGACATACCCGGGGATTACAACTTGTTCTTTGATAATTTCGACATCTCGAATTTCTACTTACCGGCCACTGTTTACGATTCCGAGCTCCCTGTATCCCTGTGGTCCAGGCCAAATAATGTTCATGATGTGGAGCAGCACCAAAACATGGACCTCAATTCCATTTCTGAGAACACCAATGATGCCACCGGCCATTTTGACTCACCTCCACCATTACAACGCTCAGAAGATCGGACTCTAATGGGAAGCAAGCCTCGGCCTCAGGCAGACTTCCTCCGTGCCGGGCCACCATGGAAGGTCTCCGGCCAAGACTACAGAACGATTCAAGACAAATTGAAGGACTTTGTGGGAATTTTACCGAAGGACTTTATCCTACCAACACGACACACTCTATCTCGTTACTTCGAGGGATACATCACTGGATTCAACCAGCATCTCCCGTTTCTTCATATTCCCAGTTTCTCCGTGTCGAAATTCGTCCCCGAGTTAGTTCTTGCCATAGCTGCAGTTGGTGCTCAGTATCGCTTCGAAAATGCCAGGGGCAACAAGCTATGGTATGCTGCCAAATCAGTTGCTACTGAACAAATCAAGAAAAGACAAAGCCATCAAGTTGCTGATATCTTGTCATCGCCGACGCCGAGAAGTGCTTCTCTGAGTAAATCGCCAGTCTCTAATACATCACCGGACGACATCCCAACACCGAGACCCAATCACTCATATGTCGCAGCAGGCAGGAGCTCTAAAGATGACATCTGGTAAGGCATGATTTACATCATCACAACATGATGCTTCAAATGAGCTGACAGGTTCAAGGTCTCCATCATCCCAAGCACGACTAGGGACCATTCAAACACTTCTCATAATGATGGCCATGGGCATGTGGGGCCCGCCTCCCTTGCTTCGGGAAGCTACAAGTATCCAAAACCAATTGGCTCTGTTGATTCGAGAGCACGGGCTTCAGACTGTTGAATGCTCTGAAAGCCAACTGCGTTGGGAAGACTGGGTTCTTTTTGAAAGTGATCGCCGGACGAAGTGCATCGCATACTGCTTCTTCAATCTTCATTCCATCGCCTACGATAACCCGCCAATTCTACGCACCTCGGAACTTAAACTTAATCTCCCTCATTCAGCGGAAGAATGGCGAGCTGCATCTGCCGAGGACTGGGAGTCCGCAAAGAGAAGTTCTTCACAAGTAGCGCTTTCCTTTCACCACGCCCTATCCAAGCTTTTCTCTACCGATGAAGAAGACCTCCCTCCTATTTCATCACTGGGAAACTACGTCCTCATCCACGCCATCATCCAACAAATCTACATCATCCGCCAAGCTAGCACGATTTCCATCCCCGCCGCCATCAACGGTAGTTTGCAGGCAGCCGAGATCTCCAAACTCGGTCAGGTCCTCCGCATCTGGCAAATCGGCTGGGAAAAAGCCCCAGAAAGCAGTTTAGACCCCATGAATCCCTACGGGCCTGTAGCATTCAGCTCTACAGCGTTGTTGAGACTCGCCTATATAAGACTGCACTGTGATCTTGGACCGTGTCGAGGACTGGAGACTCGAGATCCGCAAGTTATTGCTAGGACATTGAAGGCGTGTCCGCCGCTTACAAGAAGCCCGTTGATGAGTAGAGCAATTCTACAGGCTGCACATGCTTTGAGTATTCCAGTGAAGATAGGTATCAAATTTGTGGCGCATACTCATACGCTGCTGTGGAGTATGCAGCATAGTTTGGGCAATCTGGAGTGCGCTTTTTTACTCAGTTAGTATCACTCTCACTTTATGTGATATCCGCTCACCTGTAAAAGGCAGATGGCTATACATGATATCTGAATCCATGGAGGATCTCACAATCGATGAGCGGAACCTACTTGAGATGGTGCGCAGTATCGTTTGCGAAACTCACTTTGCAGTAGAGTCGGAAGACGGACGTAGTATGGAGGGAAGCATGGGCGTCAGGAAGCTGAGCGTAGCGGTGGTACGGATTTGGGCCGAGGTATTTAATGGCAGTCATCATGTGTTTCCCCTCGTAAAAGTCATTGGATTGGCTCTGGAAGGGTATGCGGACATGTGTGAGCTTGAAGATGAAAGCGCAGCCTGAGGTGATTTGAGCTTCTAAAAAGGACCAGTACCCGTCTGATTCAAATGTACACCATACCTTCGTCTTTAAAGAGAAGAACAACCCTTTACCGCTGTCCTTGTTTGAACTCAAATGTGGGGCAAATTTCCAGGGCTCGCTTACGAGTAAACAACCAAGAATTTCACCCGCAATTGCTAATTCTTATATCAATCCACGTCTCTGGGATACGCAAATTTTTAAAAAAAAAACAGACTGATATCGAGGCAGAAAATCAGTGGTGCACGATCAATGAAGCCAGAAAAATTGTATGTATCATTTTTCGAACCGAAGGGTAGATTAATTGAAGGTTGGACAACAGAATAAAGAATTTCGGAAGTAGCAGCAGCCAGTGCGAAAACAGTACTGGATTTTGCTTCGGAGGACTATTATCTGTTTACAGTAGAGAAAATGCCAAGTTCAGAACAGGATAGATTGACGATTAGTGTATTTTCATTGTCCCTCTTTACTAAACCGGTTAGGTACCCATCAAGCACACGCTTGGACCATGGAAAGCCATGCAAATAAGCTTAAGTCAATGGCTTTCCTAAACAGGAACAACGTCATTCTTTTCGATTTTGTGGCGCTGGTCCCCTTCCGTTTCCGTCTTCTTGGGCCTGACATCGCTCCAACCCATCCACCAACCACGCAAAAACGCCGCAGACGAAATCCCAGCTCCCATATACATTACTCTATTGATACTGACATTATATGACTTCAGCACACCCGGCAAATCATTCGCATTCACCACCGCCCTAACTGCATTCGCGCCCGCTGCAATGACAGTCTGGGCATCGACATCAGGCGCGTAACGTGGGATAGTAGAGCGCAATGAGGATGAAAAGATAATCTGTGGGATCGTGAGCCAGATTGCGCCGCCAAGATTCTGGATGAATAGGAGGGTGCCCATGGCGACAGAGATCTGGGCAGCGGGGATGGCGCTTTGTAAGGCGATGAAGGCCATTGCGCCTGCACAGCCAGATCCTATTCCGAAAATGACCTCGAATCCGACCCACTGCCCCATTGTAGAAGATGGCTCAAGCATGGAGTAAAGCCCGTAACCGTTTGCTGTTATCGATGTGCCGCCAACGACGAAGGGCAGGTAGTAGCCGAATTTCTGTACTGTACTGGAGTTAGTTGCCACAACAATGCCCTTTGCGAAGGAAGAATCCTACCCGAAACTCCAGACACTACAGCCATGAAGACCTGGAACATGACAATAGGTAACATATTAACTCCACTTGTGATCGGACTTTTCCCTCTGACCGTCTGGAAATAAATCGGAAGGTAGAAATTTCCGCATAAAAGGACGCCCTGGAAGAAAAACATTGTAGCAGATGAGGACCACATGATACGCATGCGGAGAATGGAGAATGGGACCATTGCGGCATCGCCTTTGCGATATTCCCAGATAGGGAAAATAATGATGGCGACAAAAGAGCCACAGAACAAGCCTATGATAATGGCACTACTCCAGGTATAGTCTAGGGCAATATATATATCAGTGACTGCTACATCTGAGATGTTGGGGAAGAGGCGAAAATTCAGAACAGAAAGAATGGGGTCCCTGATTACATACCGTTACCACCCCATGATAGGGCAAGGAAAAACATGACTGCTGCGGGAACAAATATCCCAAGACCAATTAGGTCCAGAGATGACACGGCATTGCGAAGAACTTCGCGGACAGGAAGCTTTCGAGTGGCCTCTGGAATTCCAATCAACCCAATAAAGCCCCCGACCACAGCACCAACGGGAAGATTGATGTAGAAGCCTGCAGGATTTTTAAGTCAATTGCATCATGAGGCAGCTCATCTATGTGGAGTAACTCACACCATCGCCAAGATACATGTTCTGTAAAAGCGCCGCCTAGGATTGGACCGAGCGCAATACCGAGTTGGCAGAAGGAAATCAGGATACCGGTCGCAGCAGGCTGTTTTTGAACAGGCAAGCACGCAGAGACAATGGTCAACCCCTCATTTATCAGACCTGAGGAGCCTATGCCAGCAACTGCCCTGCCTACAATCAGCATGACTGAACCTTGAGCAGCGCCGCACAGTAAGGAACCGAGCTCGAAAAGGAAGAAGAACGTCAGAAAAGACCACTGAAGGTGGGCAAAAGTTAGCGAAAACTTAAGAGTATTTACTGTGGTGTAATTAACTACCTTGGTGCTGAAGTGTGCGTAGATCTGCCCGCTGAATGGCTGAAATGCAGAGCTGGGGAGATGTTAATTCCACCAATCTTGATATGCCGCAAGCGGATCGCCCATACCTCGTAAGTTGATATGCGCTTCCATACCACCTAATATCAGGCAGTGACTGGAAGTCTGTTGTGATCTGAGGGATGACCTTCACTTGAGTCAGTATGACACAGTATAGGATCCTGCTTGGAGGCTTTCAAGTCGGGCAGTATACACATACAGTAGCGATAATAGAAACATCAAGCAGCACCAAGAAACAGGCTAGAGCAGCCCCCGACAACGCCATATATAACTTGGGCCCAGTCAAGAACACGTGTACATATGTTTCGTCTCCAGATTTTTTCATGGTGTTCTCCTGGTTCATTTTATTAGACATATGCGAATTTCGTGAACCGGGTCTTGAATTAGCAACAGGAGCACAAATATTTGCTGGCAACTTCTCGATGTTGGCTGTGAGCGTTGATTCCGAGCCGCGAGATAGGGAAGTCATAATGTATGCTGCCCAAGAGTAAAAGTAATGATTTTGAGCCCCAGTGGAAAGTGATATCTGTAGGGGGAGGACCCAGCTTTATCACTGAAGCCGATATTGGTCCACCCAAAGTCGGCCTCATGTATGCGCCGCATACGTCCAGGAGATAGGAGAGATGACATGCAAAGCCCGAGTGCTTCGTTCGATGTTAGGAAATGAACGTGTTGGACCCAGCCGCCTGAGTCGGTGTTGAGGATCCGAAATCCGCTCGGTATGAGAACGAACAAGTTTCCATCTGGGGTATGGTCCTCATCCTACCACAACCCAGAGCTTTCCTATCAGTTTTTGATTTGAGGTCGACCCAGGGCTTACACAACCAAACACTCCTCCGTTCCTGGGCTGTAGATGCGCGCGAACTTCCTTGTCAGAGGCTCACGAGATTCTTTTGATGCCTTTGTAATCCGAGAGATTTCCATTCAGCTTTTATTGCATGCAGCTTTACGCACAAATACCGACAATCAGTATGCAGACCACCCAAGCACATCTTGCAACCAGGCATCGTCTGCCAAATCCATATATTCCAGAATGAAATTTTCGTCGCTTACGGCTTTGCCATTTGCTGCTTGCGAGGGGCCTTCATCTGGAGCCAATTTTGTAGCACAATAAGCACGAAATCCTTTCATCACTTTACAAAGGTGGATGATTATGTCGTCGTCGGGGTTTCGGATTTCAGCACTTCTATGCTCCATACTCGTTATGACGTGATCAAACACGGCCATCAGATCAATTGTATTTCGTACAGCGTCTTTGTCCCATGCCAGATCGTCATGAATAGAAAGTCTGTAAAGTGCGACGAGACATCGCATGAATTGGATACGAAAGTGCAATGGCATTCCAAGCCATCTTGAAACAGGGAACATGAAAGTAAAGTCGATAAATGACTTTGCCGTTTCAAGGCAAGCGCACAAACACTGCAGATGCTGGGGACCGGTCATGCTGCAAGAAAGTGCTTCATCTGCTGGATATGCTCGTTCATGTATCGTCATTTCTGTGTAGTGGAAGCTTGCCATAAGCGAGACTTTACACTGTTAGCCCAGACGGTTAATATGTACCCACTTTACTTACATTCTTGCTGAAATTGTGGACTCATGGAGGCTTTGATATCCTGCAGTTGCGATCTGAGAGACTTTATTTGAAATCCTAGGGGCATCTTTGAAGGCTGTGAACCTTCACAATCAAAGTCTCGCATCTGATAAGACCTGTACAACAGAAGCTGGAGACGGATCTGAATTGCAAAACCCTTGTCATTTAAGCACTCTTTACTTTCCTCGATGGTACGAAGGTGCTCATCTATCTAGGTAGGAGTCAGCATACCCTGGTCCCAGAGTACGATGACCGTTCATTGTTGTCATAGGTGTCACAAGCCAGGATAGATACCTACCTGTGGAGTCCATTGCATAGGATCAATTCTGCCTAAGGAAGATGATACCCTGTGAATTTTAGCTACTGTCAAAGCCATATCATGGGAAGGTCTGCTGACAATGAGGATATGAAGAAACAGCCCAAGGCTGCACGTCGATGCTCTAACGAGTGAGTTTCTGTCAAACCTCCAACACCACACGCAACCACTTGAAAAAAATGGACTAAGACCAGCTTCTAGATCCTGGCATGGAAGGTGAAGATAAATTTACAGGACGATATGAACGAGAACATGTAAAAAACTAGCGTCCCGGTGCTACTTACACCTAGCAAATTTGTGCCCTCCTTCATCAATCAGCGGCCTATTCAGACGAAGATCTTGCGCAAGTGATACCGCTAAGTGCACAAGATGGTTTTTGTTACAATTATCGTTGCCCCTAAATAATCCATTAACAGGAATTAAAGAAAAGGGGAAGTACCGGTGCAGACTGACCAAGCCAAGAAAATCAGCAGTCCGAGAAGGTGATCAAAGTGACCTTGGTTCAAGATATACACTTCGTGCGTGAGTGTCTTTACAAACTCTGTCGATAGAAGGTTCTTCTGTTGCACTGATGCTGAGGTGACGACCAAGATGCTTTGCAGCAGAAAAGGGCGCGTCCGGCGAAGCTCAGTAGCAGAAACCGTGAGAGGCAAATATAAAGAAGCAAAGTTTGGTAGCAGATCGAACCGAAATACTGCAAGTCGATTTTCAGCCTCATCCAGACGGAACTGGTACCAGGAAAGGGTCTCCGCGGGGGAATTATTCAGTCCAGTCTTATTTATCGTTGGGGCAAAGCTTCCCACGGCATTAGTATGCTGTGGTTCCGATGCATCTGCGCTGAAAGAGACTGGGGTACACATGGGATTGGTCGCCTGGCCAGATGATGAGGGTGAGCCGTCAGTACCCAGATGTTCCAATGCTGGGACATACCTTCCAAGCACAGGAATATGTGCAGACAAGACACTCGTTCCAGCTACTGATTGAAGTAGAGAGACGATACCGTCGAGTTCCTCTTCAAGCTTAGCATTTCTCGCTGCTGAACTGCGCTGTGAGTTCCGCTTTCGAATAGAGTCTGTTGGGGAACATTGTTTCTTGAGCCGATGACATCTAGACGTGCAAGTAAGCTCTGGCCAAGCAATGCTTCCGGAAGACTGTATAGTTCAGCCTGACAGAGTGCCGACCTTTCACAACTCTCACTACCAAGGCGAGTGACGCCATTGGATTTAGACTTGAAACCCGGCCGCAAGCTCGTCCGTAGCTACTCTCAGTCATGACTTCCGAGTACGAATTCCGGTACTAGATAAAGGTGGGTAAAGAAGACGAAATGAGATTACCAGTCACAGCTAAAGAGACCTCGCGATAGGATGAACGGAAGTGAGGGTGCCGGATATTCTAAAGCAAGCAATCAGATATATTGAAAAATTTGAACTCCGATCTCTCTGGAGAAGGTACTCGAGCACTTGCTCGGAGAGACCTTCCTCCCGGACGGACTTCAGATTCCTAAATCCGGTCCCACTATCCAACAAGTCTTTCTTAGTCCAAGGGACAAACATGAGAGCGACGATGCTGGGCATTGTCAAACAGAAGGAATCAAAGTGACACAATAGTTTTCTGAGTATGAACCAAGGCCCGGAGACTCAAAGTGAAGCATGTACATCAAATCAATGCGCTACTGCAGAGCCATATAAACTCATTGAAGATTTCTGTGCCAAGCAAGTCGTGAAAATCGTTGAGGTTATATAAATATCTCTGCTGCGTATCAAAGCTGTAACCCCGACCACAGACGTCGAGCAATCTTGCGAGGATGAAGAAACGAAGGAAAATAGGAATGAGAACGGTGCATGACAGACATGTGATACAAATAACGTCACGTGGGTCAACTGAAGTACAATACCTACCTAGTAGCTACCTTAATTACTTACGTAGACATGTAGGTAGTTTGGATAAGACCAGAGTTTCTGGTCTGATTCTGATCTGATCGCCTGCTGACCTCTTGTGAGCACAATTTCACGTGAAACATGTAAATCCAGAATATAAATAAACGATGCAGGAAGTATCACGTCTTGAGGAGAGGGGAGTCCAGCCTGAAGAACGGTGGCTTCGCTAAGGCAAGATGTGCTGGCAACAATGCAATAACCGGCACAACGTCTTGGCGTACTCAGGCACAACCCCAGTGGGCAGCGAATTGAATATACTCCGTATCCCAGGATTCGATGGATGGTATCGATTATTCCATGCGACCGTTGCGGCGGCCAGCGCATCGCCTGCCATTCTGCTGCCGCGATACACCGTACGGGACCCGTATGGGACAGAAGGGGTTCTCGGACCTGGGGTGTACGGCCATTTGCCTCCTGCAGCGAGGGCAAGCATCCTTAGGAATCGATGTAAGGGGGTGAGAGGGAGAAAATTGCTTGCCAATCGAAGTGTTTTCGCCACTGGCACTCGGTCCTAGGCACGTCTTCCCAGCGATCTGGTGGATCTTCAGCTGAGTTGCCAGTGATGTCGTGCTTCACAATCGTCTATTGCCAGCGGGTCGTTCATCTCGAGTTTCCAGTGCAGTGCAGTAGTACTTAGTACTGTACTGTAATCCTTGCCCTGGTCGACCCAGTCTCCATTCCATGTCCAGCGTTCCCACAGTGCTACCCCCCCCCCCCCCCCCCCCCCCCCCCCCGGTTTGAATGTTAAATTACGGGCTCGAACCCTCTAGGATCGTTAGCTTACCGCTTCTATTTCTAGCTTACTACTTCTAAATATAGGAAAATATAAATATTATTAATTTCCTAGTATTTTATAAGGCTTCCTTATATATTAATTATAGCTTAATATCTTTTTTATAAAGAATTATAAAGTCTTCTTATAAAATCCTTTAGAATAGCTTCTTATACCTCTTATATAATTTAATAAAGTTATAGTAAAGTTATTTTTACTATATTATAATAAGCTTTATAATATTAAGCTTAAATCTAATTTTTTATTTAATTCTATATATACTTTATTAAATTAAAGTCTAGTAAATAATATAGGAACTTAATATATTATATATAATATCTTTTAAAGTTTATATATATAGCTTTTAATTAGTAGTAGAAAGTATTATCTTATATTTAAATAAAGTATATCAGTAAAAAGATCTAGCTCTAAGTAGCCGCCGGCTGGCTACTGTAGGCGCTATTTTCGCGATTTCTAGCCTAAGTTATATATCGATTAATTTAATAGCTAGCGACCTCTAAAGTGATATATAGTAATTTTTACTAGCACCGTAGGCGCCTTAAGCGACTAGGGCGCTATAGGTGCTTATAAGCCTAATTAAGACTAGCGTATAAAATAAAAGTAGGTCCGATTTTTTTATATTATATAAGGTATATTAGTAAGCTTATTAAAAGCCTTAAGAATACTAGTAAGAATACTAAGGATACTAAGAAGGATATACCTTATAAGGGAGTATTATTAGGCTTATATCGCCTGATTAGGCAAGGCGGCGACTTACCTCTACATAGAATTTACCTGAATCGAATTATAAGCTTATTAGCGATTTTTTAGCGTAGATATTTATAGCGTTAAAGGCTTAGTAAGACTAGTTTTAAGGACGTGCGTAGAAAGTGCAGGTCTTTTTAAATTCTCAGTTAAAATCTACGCTAGTTTAACTATTTTTAGTTAGTTTAAAATCTAAAAATAAACTTAACTTTTAATTTTTAATTCTAATTAAAAATATTATATCTTTCCTAATTAAGTCTAGCTTATATATAAAAGTAGGTCTTATAAAAGGCGCCTAGGGCGTATAAGGCAGCCTTTTATTATTTAAGGCTAATATACGATAGCCTCTTATATTTTAAGGCGCCTTAAGCGTAAATAGCGACTATTTAGCGAAAATAGCGAAAATAGCAGGTGGCACGTGCACCCGGCGCTAGAATTTTTTGCTAATATAATTACTTTAATTCTCTCTTATTTTAATAAATATCTATATATTATTTAGTATAATTATATTATACTTATTAGAATTTATTAAACTTTATTCTTTCTTCTAAAAAGTAGCTAGTCTCTTTTCTCTAAGTGTAATTATACTATAAAATATCTAAGTAAGTCTTTTACTATATTTATACTATAAATACTTAGCTTAGTATTAATCGGAACCGTTCTCTTTATAAGTAATATAGGATTATATATACGCTCCTTTAAAAGCTTATACTTCATCCGAGAATATCTATTAAAGGACTCGTTTAAGAGACTAGTGTTTAGCTTCTTCTACGAACTTAAGACATTCCCTACAAACATCAGGATCATCTAAAAACCCCCTTTTTATAGCTATCCTTCAGCTATAACTAACAAGCTTAAAAGCTGTACGTAGAGCCTTTTACCTGTAGCCTTAAAACTTAGGAGATATAATAGTCGGAATATACTTATATACGA